ATTTATGTTTGCATAAGCAGGTCATTCATCAGAAATGATATCTGAGCTTGTTATATGTTTCTTTTAAATAATAAGGACAAAAGTCGCTCTGTCTCTTCGCCTTACGAAAAAATAGCAACAGTTTGTCCAATTTTTTAAAAGGAACAGTCAAGGGCCGTTGATCCATCCGTGATTCCGTAGGGTTTAAGTATTTTCTCAATACGATAGTAGTACAAACTTCTCGGCACAAGTTGTACTAGTAGGTTACCGTATTCGATCAAGGAGGACAACGGATGCCTTATTTGCGTTGAGACAGTTGATAGTGAAATGCGGCTACAAGAAAGAAGAGTTACATTTAACATTTATAATTCTTGAAAAGGCGTACGACACAATTCCTTAACAAGAGTTATTGAGATGTAAGAGATAAAAATAAGCTCCTGAGAAGTACGTAAAGATTTCAAGTGAGCGAAGTGACCGAAAGGTTTCCATCAGGTTCTTTACTGAGTCCTTACCTATTTAATCTTGTTATTAATGTAATAACAAAAAAAGTAAGGTAGGGGGTTCCTTGATCAATACTATTTGTTGATGATATATTATCGTCTAAGAAAACCAGAACAAACAAATGTTGAAGCAGAAGTTGGAGTGTTGGAAAAGCGCTATTAAAGAGGTAGGACTTACGATTAGTATGTTGAAAGCAAAGCATAAGTGGTTGGGAGGAAGAGGAATAGTTGGGACGTAAAATTGTATGGAGAAAAGCTACAGTTTGTGATCAAATTATTAGAGCCACCTAGTAAAATTCAATTTTTACAAAAAGGGCATATAATTAAGTCTCATACTATATAATTACCTTGATTTTCATTTTTGAATATCTTGTTCCACTGTATAAAAGTACAATAAATAGACTGGCAACAGTGGCAATACGTGACTTAGATGCCATGGTTTGTCAGTGCTGTATGCTGTGCTGCAGTTTGTATTCTTCGTGTTTAGCGTAATAATAAATAATTTTCATTGCTTTTTAGTGATATTCTACAAGTCGTCTACTATTTTTTGTAAATTTAGCAAACATTACATATTCGTTACACCAATTATACTAGAACATCATGAGAACTAAGTACATCTCACCAAGGAAAATACCGAAAATAAAAACGGTATTATTAAACGCGAATCAGTTCATTAGAAAAATACCATCAATTTCTAAAATTTTAAGGGCAACTGTGGACCGACAAAACTTGACGAAAATTTGGATTTAATGAAAGAAAAATTCGAGATATTGTCTTATCAAACAGAAAACGACCTCGAAGGATTTTACCGAGAATTATGTGAGAGCTTGACATCAATATTTCACCAATGACATCTCGGCGGCGAATAAAGGATTCGGGGTTGTCAACCTGTCACCTTGCAAAAAAGACGCTACTGACACTGGACATGATGAAAAAAAGACTTTAGTGGACTAAAGATGATAAATATTATACCATTGATGATTGGAATCATGTAAATAACATTACTTAACGTTTTTTTTTATACAGCTTACAGATGATTAATTTGTCCACGATAAAAATAATAATAATGTTCCAGGTTTGTCCTGTACCTTGCAGATCCTTATGGATAGTGTTGAATTTATAAGGAGAAAACCTGGAAAAAGATACAAAGAGGATTATATTGTAAAGACAGTAAAGCACCCCCTCGATATCATGCATTCAAAAAACTGGTAGAGTCTACATTATCGAAGAAACAATGCGCCAGGACTAGTACCAAGCAGGAGAGTACTGCAAACAAAAATGCTTCCCCAGGTCCAGGATTGATTTTCGAATAAGAGTTTTACGTTTATGCATGACTTGGCGCCTTGTCACAAGGCAAAAACTGTTAGCTTACAACTAGATAAGGATGCAAGACTGGCCTGGCAATTCGCCAGATCTGAATCCAATAGAAAATCTTTGGAAGCTTATGAAGAAAGAAATTTCTAATGAAATTATAGCCAAAAAGCGTCAACTGATCAAGCGCAACTAATAGCAGTATGGCAAAGGAGTAGAACAATTAAAAAAACTGCTAGAAATTTATAAAAAGTATGCCAAAAAGGTGTCAGGCAGTCATTGCTGCCAAGGGTGATACTACCAAGTATTAGGCTTAAGGCTAAATTTTTGAGTATAAGTGTTTTTATCCAGTTACGCATTTCTTTTTTAATATATGTAAATTTTATACATATATAATACTAAATTATATTAGTAATTTATACTAAAATACAGTAAAATAACATTAAGCACAAAAATATGTTTTATAGATCAATTATATACCATTATTAAAAAAAGTAAAATTTTATGGGATGACTCTAATATTTTGATCACCCACTGTAGGACGAGTAGGAGAATTTAAATACCTTGGCACATAACGGAAAATAAAACACCAGGTCCAGAAATTGCTTACAGGATACATGCTGGTTGGTTTAAATGAATGCGAATGAACGGGAAACTTTGTGATCAGAAAATCGGGAAAGGGACAAAAGAAAAAAAATACAACAGTGTAGTGTGATCTGCCTTGATGTACGCCGGTGAAGTGTGGCCTGTGAAGAAGATCTAGGACAAGAAAATGGAGGTAGCTGAAATACAAATGTTACAGTGGATGTTGGATGTACATCCACATCCACACTAGAAAGGCCATGATCAGAAATTACTTGATTAGAGAAAGATTTGGGGTGACTATAATCTCAAAAAAAGATTCAAGACTGCAATGATTTGATCATATCAGATGTAGAAATGAAAACTATGTGAGACAAAGAATATAGCTGTTAGAAGTTATTAAAAGAAGATGTAGAGGAAAACCAAAAAAAAGATGGAAGGACTGCTTGGTAGAGGACTTAAAAGAGAAAGGTTTAGGTTAGTAAAAAAAGTGTAAAAAACAGTAATCTCCGAAAAGGGAAAAACTGAGGAAGAATAATGAGACGTTCTTTAATACAAATATAGTTTTTCTAACAACTTATCTGGCATATCAACTAGTCTACTTATTTTTTCCAGCGTCGGTGTTTTTCAATATTAAGAATATAGAATATGATTCATAGATAAATTATAGAAACACAGAAGATCCAAACAGCAAACATTAGCAAACACATAATTAAGACTAGATAATTCTAGCTCTATCCAAAGAAGAAAACGAGCTCAACCTTGGCATGTATTTGCTAATGTTGATTTTAAATATTTCAGAAAAAAACACAAAAAACTTAAAAACGACGTAAGCTAAAAAACGGATAAGCAGGGCCCACATCCTAAAGCGAAAAGATGCTATTTAAGAATCATATTTAATCTCATTGATACATGTAGTGTCATTTCCTGGTTGCTGCACCGAAGACACTGCAAACAAAAATAAGTGAAACACATCACCCTTCTTCAATTTAAATCTGAAGTTGGACATGCGTTACTGAAAGACAAAAAGTCCGACACGAGAAAACGAGGATGTCCTTCTCAAGAGAATACACCAAATAAGAGACAAGTAATGCATCCTCCACCAGTGCAAGATATTCGATTTAGGGCCGGTTCTACAATCAAAGTATAAATTAGGGAATAGTTATTCTGAGTACAACTTACTCTTGAGTTTATTCCAAGTATAACCTTTCGAGCATTCTACATTGTGAAACCGACAGCGGAATAGTTATTCTGGGTATAACCACAGAACACAAAGGTAAAACGAAATAGTAAATCTGATAGCCTCAAAATTAGTTCAAATTGTTATTGACAGTGACATTTGGCAGTTGTCATAACTGTAAAATTTGTTTACAATTGAAAGTATTTTATCTACTTTATCTTTATCTAGTATTTTATCTACGTTTATATTACTATACTTTGCAAAATTAATATAAAATGGATAAAAAAAGATGTAACAATTTTACATATACAGAAATTAAATTCAAATGCTACATAAATATATATCTAATTCATACCGAATTCTAAAAGTTTTTGGATGCCTTAGCCTAGGTATTCCTTCTTCAAAATCTTTATCATCAGATTTAAAAATATTAATATTAACTGGATCCATATCAAAAATTTTATTTTATATATAAAAACAAACAAAACCACAGTTCAAAGATCGAACGGCATAAAGTAAGGTTAAAATATCACAGATTTGACAACCCCTCGCCGACCAATAGAAATGCCGTATAAATTTATACTCGGTATATCTGCTTAACTTTGGAGGGATAAAGTTATTCTATAATATACTCCGATTATCTTATTCCTAGTTGTTTATTCTTTGTTTGTAGAACACCATTAATGAAGTTATTCCGAGTATAACTTTATTCTCAGTATATACTAGTATTGTAGAACCGGCTCTTAATAACATAAGACACTGGCCATTACATGATCAAAATCGGATCAAAAGGAGCAAATTATGTGTAAAGTCTGACTCTAGAATTAAATGTTTTAAGTGCAATGTTTTTTTATGTTTAAACAATAATAACAATTGTTTTTATAGTTTCCATATTCAAAATCAATTGTTACTAGTATAATGTGCAATAATAAACGTATTTCCCATTATAGTCAATTTTTTACCAGACCACTATATCAAGTATTATAAATGGATAAATTAGGTACCACCAACGACAGATGATTCCAAATGAGATCAACTTTTTTTTAATTTAAAGGCTTTAGGATGCAAATTTTTTATGAAAGTTATCAACAATTATTTTTTTGTATCGTTTCTTATAACGTACATTTTCTTCAACAAAATTTATTAAAAATGAAAAATAATTTGGGCTGAAAAGGGTTATAGGTAAGTAAATCAAAACTACTTGTATTTCTTAAAATTTAAAAAGATATTTTTAATATTATATTTCAATTTCTTAACTGCACTTTATTTAAGGATAAGAAATCCTTATTTTTATATAGATATCTAATAAATCCATTTGCAGTAATCTATTAATATTTGTTTATCGGGAGTGAGTAAACCACTTGTAGTTATAATTAAACTAGTAGATTACTAATATAAAAAATCACTTTACACTTCGGTATAAAAAGGGCGTTTTAATTTTCTCTATTAGATTTGATAAAAGTTATAGAAAGACACATATTATGCACTGTAAGTAAATAAATTCTATATTTTATATTTATCTCCAAAGTTAATGTGCTTTTTCAGCTACACGTTTAATATTTATCACCATCCTGTTTCTTGGTAGCACCAAAGGTAAGCAAACAATCAATAATATATATTATTTAATTATATTTTTGGGGACAATACATTATAATTTGTTGTTCATTAAAACACATCATTAAATTACATATCATAGTTTAAACCAATAAAGTTTTACTTTAAAAAATTTCGAGTAAATTTGTTAAAATAAATACAAATATACACAAATAATAACAAAAAAAGCTGTAACAATGATTCTACAAGCAGCATAAGCATCTTGTAGAATCTTTTTAACGCAGAAATTTAAAAAAAGTTCGACGTAACCATTTCAAACATTGCAAAACTTGATTGCTAAAACATTGCAATTTTTTACTTATAAAAATTTAGAGTAAGTCACAATTTCTCAATTTAAAATTAAAAAAAAAGTAATTCTACGACATTAAGGACAGTATAATTCACCTGTGATTCGATTGTTATTTCCAATTTTCATTACTTATATATTTTGTTTTCTTATTCTGATCAAAAGATTCCCTTAAACATAGGATTGCCATGCGATGTTGATACCGGTGTATGGAGACATCTGAGTCAGGTGTAATGTTAAAACTTCTTTAATTCATTTTCTCGGAAAAAAATTGAACACATTTGGAAATAACACATTATTTATTGGTACTACAACTTTACTACTATTTAAAAAAACATTGAAGTGAGCCCGTCGACTTTATACCGATAGTGATTCACTTCAAATTTAAAATATTTAATTTCTATCTTGCAAACTGGTTAACGGTATTAGACAAATACACACAACGCAAAAGTCTAAGGATATTTTAATAATTTGACAATACCAATGACAGAAATTTCATGACCATATAAATTTGCTTGTACTATAATTGTTGATACAGAACACTTACTTCTTATCAAAAAAAAATTTAAAACTGTACACACAATACGTGTTTTAGAATGTTTTTTATAAGGGACAAAAAAATCGACATTTTTATGTTTTGTTTATTTTTAATTTTGGTCACTTTATACTATTCTTGGTTAAAAAGTAAGTTAAAGATATTGTATTTTACCATGCAACGACAACATTTAACGTTGGACGAGATAAATAGAGCCGTGGGCCTTCTTCAAGCTGGTATGCGACAAAATCAAGTTGCTGACCAGCTGGGTGTCTCGCAAAGCGTCGTAAGTCGTTTGTGGCGTCGGTTTGAAGACACTGGGAGTCCAGACGAGCAACATCCAGGACGTGGTCGCTCTACAACCGTCGCTCAAGACCGATATTTAATTTTAAATGCCAGAAGGCAGCCAACAATCACAGCACCCGAGCTGGTTAATGAATTACAACTTGCACATAATGTAACAATTAGCAGCAGTACTGTGAGAAATCGTCTTCATGAAGCCAATCTTCGTAGTCGGCGACCACTGAGATGTCCACCTCTATCTAATAGCAATCGCGCTGCAAGATTAACCTGGTGTCAAGAGTTTCTGAATTGGACTGACCATGACTGGGCCACAGTTTTGTTTAGTGACGAGTCTAGGTATGGATTTCGTCCAGATTGTCGTCGGACAAGAGTTTGGAGACGACCCGGAAATGGAGAACGATTACGACATCTTCAAGAAGTGTATGCATACAGAGGTGGTACATTAATTGTATGGGGCGGAATCATGATTAACGGAAGAACTGACCTCATTTTCCCACGTGGCTTTCTCACAAGTCAGCAATATTTGGACACTGTTCTTAAACCTGTTGTGCGCCCTTTTGCTGCTGCTGTTGGAGAAAATTTTTACTTTATGCATGATAACGCTCGACCACACGTCGCGCATATTGTAACAAACTGGTTGGATAACGAGGGTATTGATGTATTGCCGTGGCCAGCACAATCACCGGACTTGAATCCCATTGAGCATGTATGGGACATGCTCCAACGAAGAGTTACTCCACATATGGTAATATCTACAATGAGTTTCAATTAAAAGAGCTTCTGAGAGAACAATGGGCACAACTACCTCAAGCAGACATTAACAATGTGATTCGGAGCATGAACAGTAGATGTAGAGCTGTGATAAACCAACGTGGTGGCCATACTTTATTTTAAGTTTATATTTCGTATTTTTGACATTTTATGGTGGTATGTGAAACATGCGTGGTTTGCAATTATTTTTTTTTTTTTGTTCCAATTTTCTGTTTTTTTGCAATTTATGGTTTTTGACATAATAAACAACAATTTAAACTACAAATTTTGTATTACTTTTTTTAAGTTTATTCCAGATAAAGAAAATACGTCTATTTATAAAAATATCCCTAGACTTTTGCGTTGTGTGTATTTTCGTTATGGAGTAGGTAAGAGTGATACACGTTCTATATCATTTAAAGACAATACACATATTATATTATAAATTTTCAAAAGCCTTTATTTCTTTATATATATTAATAATTTATGTAATAAATATGGATAATGTTTATTTAATATTTATTTATAAATTTTTAAACCAGTAAAATATAACGTTTATTAACATACGTCATTGATCAAACCTGCAAGAGCAACAAGGTGGCTGATAAAAAGACCTATTAGGAACGATTGTAACCATGAAGTTGTAGCATGTATACATTTTTAATAACCATCGAATATTTAAGGTATAAAATTTTGTTGGTGCGCCCTTGGGCCATGTATAAAATTTTACTGGGTCTCAGTTTACTTTACATACCGAAGAAAAATTCTAGTTACAACTGCGAAGTTAAATACAATTATATTTAGTATTGTTCCGAAGCTATTTCCTTGTGGCATTTTAAAGTAATTGCCGTTTAAATGGGAATGAGCCACAATTAAAGGTCAAATACGTTTATTGACGTTTCAATTTCCACTTCAGAAATCGTTCTCAAAATACAAACAATAGTACATTAAACAAATTTTGTTTTTGTCTTACTTAGTGAAAAATTCTTCTAACAATTTAATTTTATCTGACTCATTTATATTGACAATTCAGACATACAGTATATATTTTAAAGTAGACGCCTTTAAGATGATATTGCCAATATTGTTGATTCACTTAGGTTATGAATAACCTAATTGACGACAATATTACTGTTTATTCAGACAAAAGCAATGAGGGGAATTTTGTTTAAGTAGATGCAGAATATTTAAGTACAAAAATTCATCTGGCCCAGAATCTACATCTAGTAACGTAAGATTCTATTCATATTTTCAATGGCAAAATAAAAAATATTTATATTTTATTTATATAAAAATCAAAAGCGGCAAATAATTATAAAATAAAATAAAACCAATTCAGATGTAGACACCATGTATTATCTTGTCTAAACATACACAGTTAAAATCAAACAAGAAGATGGACTGTGACAGTTTTTATAATATGATTGACATAAGCGTATTAAACTCTCACATTATATTATAGTGTTATCTAAACTACAAGTGGAAAACAAAAAAAGGGTTACGAGAATTAATAAAAGAGTGAGGAGAAGAGTTAGTTGCTAATAGAACAGGTGTAGATTAAGCTAAACGAAACTCGATCACAAAGTCATCGACAGAAGTGCAGTCGATTTGTTTGTACAGAGCATCGCGTAACTACTTGCCTTAAATGTATAACAAAAATTTTTTATAACTATGAATTATTTAATATTCTAAATAAAAAATGTAATATAAGAAAAGTATTTTTCCGCAAATCACCAGGAAATTTTGACATTCCTGTCAAAATTTCTTGAAGACAAAGGCAGGACTTCCTTACTGTAAGAAAACGTCATTTCTTTACTGTAAGGGAATGATATTTCCGTACAGTTGTTAGTGTTCTACATAAATGATAGAAAACACATTGCTTATAAGGAATTAATTTATATTTTGAAAACATCAAGTCATTGCTGAATACATTTTTAAGATCAATTTGTTATATTTACAGTAATTTGACAGTTAGTACAATTATTGGACATTGGAGGAACACTCTTAGAACTATGAGAAACATTTTGGACAACATGCAGAGTGGAAGTGTCATTTCGTTGAATATTTTGTACTGTGAAAATTTTATTTGCCACCTCAACCTTATTGTTAAGCGATTCTTCGATATATCCTTCAGCAACGTTTGATGACTTCCATCCGCCATGCCTCTTTAAACTAGTTATGTCGGCACCAGAGTCAACCAATATTGTTGCAGAAGACCGACGAAAGCAGTGACCAGTATATTCTGTCAGATTTACCAAGTTCAAATAAGTAGCAATTATTTTGGGCATTTTTCTCAATTGATGAATTCCTACCACTTGTCTACAACCCTTTCCGCTTTGATATTTAAAGAAAAATCGGTCCGTGTTCATATTTTCAGGTCTTAACGAAACATACTTTCGATAAACATTCAAGTAGATTTGATTAATTACAAATGATCTTGGTTTGTTGGTTTTCGAATCAGGTATGCTGATTAAAAGCTTAGATTCTAAGTCTTCTATATCGTGTACAGTCATTCGGACTAACTCATCCATTCTACAGGCCCCAGAAATACCAAATATTACAGCCACCTAAAGAATAAATAAAGCTATAATCTAAATAGAAATTAAAACCTTGTAAATTACCTTAATCATTAAATTTTCTTTATCTGAAGCTTCCTGTATAAATTTTTCAATTTCTTCCTTCGCTAAAATCTTAGATTTCTTTGCCCTATAACCTTGAGCTTGCCGTTTCAATAAAGAACGAAGTTTTGAGTATGTAGATATATCTACATTGTGTTTACTCGTTCGGATACAATTAGCGTCTCTTAGCAAAGACAATGACGTCGACTTTGCTAAGTTTCAAGACAATTACTCTACACACACACACACACACACACACACACACACACACACACACACACACACACACACACACACACACACACACACACACACACACACACACTACACCTCAAATTGGCGAATGGATTTAGTGTCCGCAGTCATTTAAACACAAACAAACAACAACAATACATTGTGCAAGGATTGACTTCAGCATTGAATAATTGGCCCATAATGTTAAAGATTTCATCTTTAAACAAAGGTCTAGGAAGTATGCCATTACAACATTTTCTGAGAAAGAACTCGTATTTTTACTCATGCGATAATCCATAAAACGTCTGTATGCATTTTCGTACTTTTCTCTTGATTTCTTTGGCAATAATTCTAATGAAGCAGTATTCACTGCCTCAACCAGCTCTGAAGGAGTCCCAGGAATAAAAATTTCATCATCACTTATCATTTTACTTTCGAGAACACCAGCAATTAAATTTATAAGCATCAAGTTTGACAATTCAACCTCAATACGTTTCCATAGTAACCCAAGTGCTTAATTTTATTAGGAATTTCAAAGCACCATTTATTTTGGAATAAAATTATCGCGTTTTTTTTTTAAATCAATCAATATCTGTCGAATTTTAAACGATTTGCGGAAAAATAGTATGTTTACCTCGTAGGAAAAGCCACATTCCTGGACTCTGTGTTGCTAAGTCTCGGCTTGCGCCTCGACTTAGCAATCTTCACAGTCGTCCAGGAATGTTAAGCTTTTCCTACCCGGTAAACAATGTACTATTAAATATGTAAAACATAGTATATTAATGATATAATAAGTGAAAGTATAATAAGTGAATATTAAGGTATTTCAAACACGCGCGATTTTTCGAGCACGTCGACCATCGAGCAAAAAGACAAAAGATGGAATCTAATCGTTATGAAAAGAAGAACAAAAAAGTGGCCTTTGATGGCGGACATATCCGGAAATGCAAAGGTGCTAAATTTAAATATTTAAATAAAATATATATATTTTTATATAAAATATTTTTCAGAGGAGAAAGTTTTAATTAAATATTAACGATAATAGTCTAAAATATGACACAATTGGTAAAAACCTTCAATATAAATAAAATTTCATGTGACAGTTGGGACAAACAATAACATACCCAAACTAAATTTAATTTCTTAAACAAGGAAAGAGACTGTCTTTCCTTGTTTAAAGTGGCCTCTTAAGATGGCACTTCCTGTCTTATTTTTGTCCTGTAGGCCGTGTAGTGCTGTAGTGGCACTTCCCTGTAATATTTTTGTCCCCACTACCTTTACATTTACATTCCCTCTTTTGTCGTTTTGCTCGATGACGTCGACGCAGCTGGAGTGCTTGAAATGGAGCAAGTGTTTTAAAGACCAGTTAACCACGAACGCTTTATAATATTTTTTTATCGGTACGCTTTAAAATCATGTATTATTACTACAAAAAAAATTGAAATAAGAGCTAATAATGTAAAATAGTTGTTGAAATATTTAAGTACATTAGTATACCTTTCGCTGTAGGGAAATAAAAGTAAAGAACAATTAATTTGCTATAGAAATTTTCATATAAAAATGCTTGCACGTCATTCAAGATTTACGACGTCAGAACCCCACAGCGTTGGGTTTGCTTGCGCCTCGACTTAGCAATCTTCACAGTCGTCCAGGAATGTTAAGCTTTTCCTACCCGGTAAACAATGTACTATTATATAAATTATCTTTAGAAGATAGAGTTATAATTACTATTACATATGTAAAAAAAATTACACATTTTAGCACGGGGTCCTGTGAAAATACCATCAGTAGCAGTAGATCCAAGTCTTCAATGTGACAGGGAAGGCGAATATTTTCCAGATACAACCAATTGTCAAGCTTTTTATGAATGTATTGATAACATAAAACAACATAATATATGTCCTGATCCTCTTTTGTGGAATGTTCATATACCCGGATGTACTCTGGATTCTGACTGCTGTAAGTTTTATTATGTCAAATAAAGTTTAATATATTTTAGTGTGAATAAAACCTAATTTATATATATATATATATATATATATATATATATATATATATATATATATATATAGTGAAAAGGAGATAATACTGGGAAATACCCTTTTTTTTAAAAGGGTACTTCCCAGTATTATCTCCTTTTCACTACATAGTACTCGTACCCGTTATCATCCTTTTGGGTATATATATATATATATATATATATATATATATATATATATATATATATATATATATATATGTATATATATATATATATATGTATATATATATATATATATATATATATATATATATATATATATATATATATATATATAATTTCAGTTGTTTTCCGGGTTTGACTCCGCGTTAAGTAATTTTGGTTTTTAGAAAAACCATTGTTTTGACGACGTTTCGGCAAGGTCACACTTGCCATTGTCAAGTCAGATTAGTTCTGCTTTGTCTTGATGTTTCAGGAGTACTGAAACTCTTGAATATGAGATTAGTGACACACAATTTGGCTTTAGAAATGATATGAGTACAAGAGATACTTTGTTCGGCTTGAATGTACTGGCTCAGAGATGCATGGACATGAATCAGGACATGTACTTATGTTTTGTAGACTTTGAAAAGGAATTTGATAAAGTTCAACATAAAAAGCTTGTAGATATATTAAAAAGCAAAAATATTGACAGTCGTGATCTGAAAATTATATCTAATTTATATTGGAATCAAACTGCCAAAGTAAGAGTTGACAGCCAGTACACCGAAAATATCAAAATACAGAGAGGAGTCCGCCAGGGTTGCGTGCTGTCCCCACTGCTTTTCAATTTTTACAGTGAAGCGGTATTTCAAGAAGCGCTCTCAGACTCAATAGAAGGTATACATATCAGTGGAGAAGTTTTGAATAACTTACGTTTTGCAGACGATACAGTAATAATTACGGATAACAACAATGATTTACAGAACGTAATGCAACGCCTGAATGAGCGCTGTCATGAGTACGGACTGAAGATAAATTAAAAAAAAACTAAATGCATGATCATGACTAAATCTGCAGATGCAAATATCCAATTGATTATTGAAGATACTGCAATTGAGAGTGTTAATAACTGTAAATACTTAGGAACATGAATTACATCAGATGTAGACCAAACCAAAGAAATTAAGACACGTATTGAAATAGCACGTACATCATTTATTAAACTTAAACAGTTTCTTTGTTGTCGGGATATTAGTTTAGAACTACGCCTGAGAATGCTTCGATATTACGTGTTCTCTACTCTTCTGTATGGTTTGGAAGCTTGGACACTAAAACAAGTTCATCTAAATAAGTTGGCCGCCTTTGAATTTTCATGTTACAGAAGAATCCTACGAATATCATGGATTCAAAGAATGTCAAACATGGAAGTAACTAGAAGGATAGGAAATGAGACAGAAATAATATTAACTATTAAAAGACGAAAACTTGAGTACTTTGGACATGTGATGAGAGGACAAAAATACGCATTATTACAACTTATTATGCAGGGCAAAATCCGAGGAAAGCGAAATGTGGGAAGGTGAAGAATATCCTGGCTTAAGAACTTAAGGGAATGGAACAGAGTCTGCATAGCCATGATGATTTCCAACCTTCGATAGAAGATGGAACTTAAAGAAGAAGACTGAACCAGTGCAGCAAAATCGATCTTTAATTTTTTAAATTTTAAAATGAGAAGTTTAAAGCTGCCTACAATTTTTGTCAATTACATTTTTTTTGTAATTTTCACTATAACATATCTACTGAGCTTTCTCAAAGTAATCAATCACCCTGTTGCCAAATTACAGAAGAATCTTAAAAAACACACTACGATTTGACTGTAATCCACTTTTTGTGTATGTAGTTCTGAGGTACACTTCTGAAGTACAATTTTTTTGTTTTCGTTTCTCAAAGTTTGTTTTCGTTTGATTGATATTATATTTGCGGTTCAATTTGCTCTATTTACTTGATCTTCCACTTCAATTTCGAGCTTTCCGTGGCCAAATAGTTTGATCTTTAGATATTTAAACTCTGTCACTTGTTCTATTGTATGACCTTCCTTCTCCAATTTACATCTTAGTAGATTTCTTGTTGTAACCACACAATTTGTCTTTTTTGGGGAAATCAACATGTTAAATATTTTGGCGGTTATATTCAATTGGTGCAGCATACGTTGTAAATCATCTTCACTTTGAGAGAGTAGTATTGCATCGTCTGCATAGCAGATTATTTAAAGTTGTTTTTCTCTCATTTGGTATCACTTTTTAGTTCGTACTTTTAAAATATTAAATTTATAATCACGTTTAATAATAACGGGACCTTTTATTGTAATCTTTTGGTAGATATTTTTTATCGTTTTGATTATTCCTAGAGATATCTCTCTTGCGTACAATAAGTGGATATAACTGGATGCATGATTACAATACTTAAATAAAACTTAATAAACACGAGATTTTATATATTATAGGTGACTTCAATGCAAAAATTGTGAAATGTCGACGAGATCAAACTAAAGTTCCTTATGGCTTAGGACAACCTAACGATCGAGGACAGAGATTGTATGAATTTTGTAAAGAAAACGATTTGATCAATGCAAACGTCTGGTATAAACTACCCAAGCGACGACTATACACTTGGAAGGCCCAATTTGATGATGGAAATAACCCTGAGTCTTTAAGAAATCAAATAGACTATAGACTTGTAAATGAGTGTTTCCGAAATGCCGTCAAAAAGTCACTATATATCCTGGGGCAGATATTGGATCTGATCATCGACCACTTGTAGCAGATATGAAACTAAGGTTTAAACGAATTTAGCGACAAAAAAAAACCAATGGATTTAACTTTGACGATGTAAACATAAAACATAACATTAAAAAAGAATTTACCAATAAAATAAAAAACATATAGAGCAACTAGAAGATCCAGAAGAACTATGGAGTGAATTTAAAAACAAAGTTAACGAATTCTTCAAAAACAATGATTATAGAAAAAAATTTAATCAGGAAAAATAAAAGGATGACAGAGGACATCTTGAAATTAAAATCCACAAGGAAAAATTCCTGTAGCTGGCTGTATACCACGTATAACAAAAAGAGGTTAATCTTTGTAAATGGGTATATTTATTTACAAAACCCTTAAAAGGGCCACATCAATAAAACAAACGTTTTCGGACCACACAGTCCATCATCAGGTTATTAAAATCAAAAATGCCTAAAAATAAGTATAAACAAACGAGATTTTGAAATTTTGACTATGGTTGAAAAGCAAAAGATGGTTATACTTACTAGGTCATAATGCCTGAGCCACCAAAATATTAGGGTAAAAACCCTTTAAATTACATTTAGTTATGAAATGTTGTACATTGTGTTATAAAATAACTGTGATGTTCAATATTAAATTAAATTTGACTAAAGGTAACACATGGCTCAATTGGGTTCCAGAGCCGCGTGAGAGGGAACCTCTGCACTCGGAGAACAACGTGGAACTGATTGACAAGATACTTTTGAAGGATGAAGATAACAGAATGTCAATGCAACAAAAACTATAAAAGTTGTACATAGTATTACTACAGCCAAAAGATTCAACAAGTTTTGATGATTTTAAAAAATAACAACAATCTAGGTGTTGGGATTTAAAAACTTTTTATTTATTAATTTAGGGTATAAAAGATGTCAAATCAATGATGGTTTTATAGTCATGATTAATATAATGACCTGTACCTTAGGCAACTTATGTTGCTTTTCGTCGTATGGAATGTGGTCTAAAGTGTATTTAATTTTGGGTTAGCTTGTATTTATGAAATTTATCCTTTTATGTTTAACACATCTAGGACAAGGTAAAAATTAAATAACAAATATTTGAAGCTAATATCAGACCTCATATTTAAATGACTTTATTTAAGAATGCTCCTATGGTGAAAAATTAATAAAATTAAGTTTAGTAAGATGGAAATCTACAGGCTGAAGAAATTGAAGTAGTAACATATGTGATTGAATTTAAAATTGAAGAGACTGGGTTCCTCAGAGACTAATGAGAATGAAAGTAAAAGAAATGACCGAAGAAAAGGAGGGGGGTTTGAGGGAGAAAAGGAGTTGATCAACAATTAGAGATAATAGGGGTCCTTTATACTTAAAGTATCTAGCACCCTGAACAAAATCTATTTAGGTGGTATTAAATTCAGTTTGTAGAAACCTGAAATTTGTTTTATAAGTGTGCTACTAAGTTGTTGACCGAAAGAAGGTGGACAAAGGTAGATTAGGATTCTTTGTAATATGGTAGATTATGAATTTTAATAAATTGTTAGATAATGTTTGAGTGATTACTAAATTAAAACTATTGGATACATGTTTAATATATGAATTGACCAAGAAATAATGAAAGAGAACAGAATTAACAGGAAAACGATATAGAAGTGAAGAGTGGATAAGATAGTGAAATGTTGGTATGATGGATGTGGATGGTTCTGAAGTTAAAATTGGGGTCAGAAATTTGTGAGAGGAAGGTGTGACGATATTGTATAAAATGGGTGTTTGAAGAACCACAAGATTATGTAGGAATAAGGTGTTGATGTTTGTATAGGAAAATAAGGCAGAGAAAATAGCACAGTATTGTGAAGTGTGGACTATGAAAAAAGTTATTTTCATAGTCCACACTTCACAATACTGTCCTTATTTTCCTATACAAACATCAACACCTTATTCCTACATAATCTTGTGGTTCTTCAAACACCCATTTTATACAATATCGTCACACCTTCCTCTCACAAATTTCTGACCCCAATTTTAACTTCAGAACCATCCACATCCATCATACCAACATTTCACTATCTTATCTACTCTTCACTTCTACATCGTTTTCCTGTTAATTCTGTTCTCTTTCATTATTTCTTGGTCAATTCATATATTAAACATGTATCCAATAGTTTTAATTTAGTAATCACTCAAACATTATCTAACAATTTATTAAAATTCATAATCTACCATATTACAAAGAATCCTAATCTACCTTTGTCCACCTTCTTTCGGTCAACAACTTAGTAGCACACTTATACAACAAATTTCAGGTTTCTACAAACTGAATTTAATACCACCTAAATAGATTTTGTTCAGGGTGCTAGATACTTTAAGTATAAAGGACCCCTATTATCTCTAATTGTTGATCAACTCCTTTTCTCCCTCAACCCCCCCTCCTTTTCTTCGGTCATTTCTTTTACTTTCATTCTCATTAGTCTCTGAGGAACCCAGTCTCTTCAATTTTAAATTCAATCACATATGTTACTACTTCAATTTCTTCAGCCTGTAGATTTCCATCTTACTAAACTTAATTTTATTAATTTTTCACCATAGGAGCATTCTTAAATAAAGGCATTTAAATATGAGGTCTGATATTAGCTTCAAATATTTGTTATTTAATTTTTACCTTGTCCTAGATGTGTTAAACATAAAAGGATAAATTTCATAAATACAAGCTAACCCAAAATTAAATACACTTTAGACCACATTCCATACGACGAAAAGCAACATAAGTTGCCTAAGGCACAGGTCATTATATTAATCATGACTATAAAACCATCATTGATTTGACATCTTTTATACCCTAAATTAATAAATAAAAAGTTTTTAAATCCCAACACCTAGATTGTTGTTATTTTTTAAAATCATCAAAACTTGTTGAATCTTTTGGCTGTAGTAATACTATGTACAACTTTTATAGTTTTTGTTGCATTGACATTCTGTTATCTTCATCCTTCAAAAGTATCTTGTCAATCAGTTCCACGTTGTTCTCCGAGTGCAGAGGTTCCCTCTCACCCGGCTCTGGAACCCAATTGAGCCATGTGTTACCTTTAGTCAAATTTAATTTAATATTGAACATCACAGTTATTTTATAACACAATGTTCAACATTTCATAACTAAATGTAATTTAAAGGGTTTTTACCCTAATATTTTGGTGGCTCAGGCATTATGACCTAGTAAGTATAACCATCTTTTGCTTTTCAACCATAGTCAAAATTTCAAAATCTCATTTGTTTTAACTAAATGGTTTATACTTATTTTTAGGCATTTTCGATTTTAATAACCTGATGATGGACTGTGTGGTCCGAAAACGTTTGTTTTATTGATGTGGCCCTTTTAAGGGTTTTTTAAATAAATATACCCATTTACAAAGATTAACCTCTGTTTTTTTTTTTTTTTTTATCTTGAAATTAATGGGACAACGTCGACTATTGATAAAATCTGACAACTGATAAAATCTAATGTAGCGGAATATATTATTAGAACGTTTGCAAGAAGTCGGTTTAGATGGAAAAGATATCAAACTCTTAAAAAACTTGTACTGGAACCAAAAAGCCAGAGTTAGGATCGAACGTTCCGCATCCGCAGAAGTAGAAATTAGGAGGGGAGTTAGACAGGGATGTGTCGCCTTTGCTGTTTAATCTTTACTCCGAGTTTCTATTTAAAGAAGCATTGGAAGATTCCAAGGATGGAGTCAAGGTGAATGGCGTAAATATCAACAGTATCAGATACGCCGATGATACAGTGTTAATTGCGGATTCCGACTCAGGTCTACAACGACTCATCGACAAGACCAACTCGACCTGTGAGCAATTTGGTATGAAAATAAACATTAAAAAAACCAAAGTGATGTCAATCCGAAAAAACCAAAACGTACCTCAACCTTGCACAATAAATGGGCACATCTTAGAACAGGTCAATAGATTTAAGTACCTGGGATGTTGGATCGATAGCAGCCTAAATCCTGATCAAGAAATAAGATCGAGAATAGAACAGGCTAGAAAATCTTTTGAAAACATAAAAAAACTGCTTTGTGATTCTCGAATAAAACTCGAAATTCGACTACGTTTATCAAAATGCTACGTCTGGTCGACTCTTCTATATGCAGTGGAAACGTGGACCCTTAAAACATCAACCGTAAATAAATTGGAGGCCTTTGAAATGTGGATCTACCGGAGAATACTCAAAATTTCATGGACATCGCATACCTCAAACGAAGAAGTGCTGCATAGAATAGGCAAGGAAAGAGAACTTTTTAACACAGTTAAAGTAAGAAAAACATCATACCTAGGCCACATACTAAGAAATAATAAGTACCAACATGCCCAACTTATAGTGAAAGGAAAAATCAAGGGAAAGAGAGGCCTAGGAAGGAAAAGACTATCATGGCTCAGAAACATCCGACAATGGACAGGGCTAAATTTTGAACAGCTAATAAGAACAGCTGAAGATAGAGAAGAGTTTAAAATTGTAGTAGCCAACCTCCATTGAGGAGAGGGCACTTTAAGAAGAAGAAGAGCGGAATATAGACACCTGCAGAGAAGAATAAAAAAGGAGATCAAATTAGCCCAAGAAAAATGAAAAGAAACGAAATAAGAAAAGAATGGCAGCTGTATATAATAGAGTTGTTTGAAGATGACAGGAATAATATTGCCGAATTCTACCAAAACTGGACTGACGGCCCAGAAATTATGAAATGCGAGGTAGAACACGCTATAAATATTGCTAAAATTAGAAAAGTGTGTGGTCCAGATGATACACCAACTGAGTTGCTAAAACTAATAGACAATGGTAACATAGAAAGTAGTAGTAAGACTTTTTAATTCAATATATACCTACCACCGGAGTGATTCCCGCAGATTGGCTCAAATCCATCTTTGTCGCAATACCCAAAAAACACAATGCGAGAAAATGCTAAAAATATCGATTAATTAGCCTAATAAGCCACACTCTTGAAATTTTTCTTAGAATACTTCACAAGAGAATTTAGACGCAAATGCAAAGAAGATCGTGAAGACACCCAATTTGGTTTAAGAAATGTTATGGGAACCAGGGAAGTACATTTTGCGTTTAACATCCTATTACAAAAATGGCGTGACCAAAGAAAAGATGTATTTGCATGTTTCGTGGACTTCGAAAAAGCATTCGATAAAGTACAGCATGTAAAATTAATGAAAATACTGAAAAATATCGGAATATATGAGAAGGATATTCGTGTCATTAAAAATTTGTACTGAAATCAAATTGCTATCGTAAAAGTTGGAGATAACTACACCGATGGAATCTCTATACAACGAGAAGTCAGACAAGGTTGCATTTTGTCGCCAACATACACTCGAATGAGTTATTTAAAAAGGCACTTGAGAGACAACCATATGGAATAAAAATCAACGAGGAACTACTTAATGTGATTAGATATGCAGACGATACAGTACTTCTATCAGATAATATCAAAGGTCTTCGAATTCTGTTTGATCGTTTTCACGAGGTAGGAAAGGAAATGGGTATTAAAATAAACTCAAACAAAACCAAATTTTTAGTGTTTTGTCGTGACCCACATTTCGATGCAAAGCTTCAATTAAACGGAGTCCAAGTTGAGAAAGTTCACAAAATGTGATGTTTTGACATATTTGCGAACTGTAATAGCGAACCAACTAGATCCAGACATAGAAATAAAACGTAGAATAGCAATGACTAAAACTACTTTTATGAAAATGAAGTCATTTCTTTGCAATAACCATCTCAGTTTAAAACTAAGGCAAAGAATGGTTAAGTGCTATGTTTGTCCAAATTTTCTGATATGGCACGCGAAGAAGAAGAAGTATAATTACAACACTAACACTACAACATTCGAACAATACTTACAATAAGACAATTTGCTGCAGTGTACCAAAAAAGCCTGCAAATATATTTCTGTCATCCTAAGAATGTATTTATCAATATATTAATATTTGTTGCAAAAATTTCGTGCAAAAAAAAGTCTAAGCTACATAATTTTTAGTTTCGCCAAGTAAGAAATCATTGGATTTCTACTATGATTTTTAAATAAGTTTTAGATTAATGCAACCAAAATCGCTAACCAAAAATTAATATCGTATTATTTGTTTTAGCGCAACTTTATCACACAACACGTAAGTAAATATTTAGTATTATTACATTTATAAACAGTTGAATATGTTAAAATAAAACTAACATTGATTTATAAATACAATCAGCAGTCTGTTTGTTTTTATAATTAGATTAAGCTGTATTTACATGATTGAGGACTGTTATGTATTTTGGAACCCATGCTAGTTAACATATTCCTTGGCAATATGACACGGGGTTGTTTTGACACGGCGGCCAGGGAGTTAGGAAGCTTAGCTCTAATATGGTTGTAAGGTTTCACTTTAATATTAATTAAAGGGTGATCTCGTCAACTAGTAAATAGTTTGTGTAGGGTGAATTCTTGAAGTTACAGAAAATGGCGTTAATTGGCAATATACAACCATTTGACAGGAAAGCTGAAGAATTCAAGATATACCTGGAACTAATGGATCATCTTTTTGTGGTGAATAATGTAACAAAAGAAACAAAAGTCTTAATGTTTCATTACACCCTAGCCGATTCTAATGTGTATCACACTGGAAAATATTAGAATTTGTAGATATTAATATTAAGATTATGAAATATTCAACAAAAACTATTAGCAGATGAAAAATGTACATTTAAAATTGCGTGTAAAGCTTCTCAAGCAGCAAAACTTGCTGAAAAACAAGTTAGAAATGTATCCAGAGAAACTGGTGTAAATACTGTCAGAAACATCAATTATAATTAGACAAAAGTGATATATTATAACCAGCCAAAAGTGGGTACAAAAGTACCCTACACTTTAGTGGTTTGCGTAAAACCTCTGTGGGCAAAAAATATTTTGGAGCTCCTTTATGAAGATCATATAGGTATTACTCGGATTCAAGAGCATCAAAGATGCATTCGATCAGGTCTTTTCTCCCATTCTGCAGTTGCAGAACACTGCCAAGAAACCGGTCATTCCATATTGTTCGAAAAAACCCATATTATTTCTAAGAGCCCCTTCTTTTATTCCAGGAAAATCCGCGAATCTCTAGAGATCCGAAAAAATCCACATAATATCAATCGAGAGGAAGGATACTACTTGTCTCCCATCTGGAATCTCAGTCTAGAGCCGCCGTCCGGTCCCGCTACCACGATGCAGCCACATAATTGGCCAGCGCGCGCTTCTTGACGTTCGCGCCACGGAATGTGCCGATACGTCCCGACACGACAGGTCACCGCGACTATAAATAGAGCGGTAGCGGAGTAATCGTCGGATTCACTCCCCGCCTCTCGACGCGTTAGTGTTCTAAGGTGTTGGACGTGAATCCCTGTCCTGGCATTTGGTTTTCACCTCTGGCTGCGTTGAGTAGTTGAGTTACTGTGACCAAATGCCCATCTTGGTAGTTAGTATTCGCCTCTGGTTGCGTTGAGTAACTGAGTTACCGTTGCTAACTACCCATCTTCCTGTCTTCTTTTTCTTTGTTCTCCTGAAGAAGCTACATACAATTGTAGCGAAACGTCGAGATGAACCCACTTTTGGGTCACTCACAAATGACACGGTCTAAACCCGGAAGACGAATAAACTATAAGATGTGCTCATTGTACACATTTATTTCAACATTATTTAACTCGATATGCACTTATGTGGGATTTAAATCTAATGAAGGAATATTGGTTGTTTTATCCTACTGTGTCAACTAGTCAATTGTTTTAGAGATTGTGAAAAATCGATAATTGGCTGAATATCTGTTATATTTAGGTGACAATTTTGGGCACAATTGGGTTAAGAAGTATGTGGTTTATTTTTGATAGATATTTGTGTTTTTATTATTTGTAGACAGAGATGCTGAATATTAAATAATTTTTAAATTATTAAAAACAATAAAAGTTTGATAAAAACTACAAGCTGATTACACTGTTACCTTACCTTACCTACTTAAGAAACAGAGACGAACTTCCAAAGCAGTCTTTTTAAAACACATATTTTTGAGGATTTCTTTTACTTAGGGATTTCATAAAACCAATCGAGACTATACACTATACGGAACAATCAATAAAAATTACTGAATGTACTGTGATACATAGGTACACATTACATACAACATTTGGTCAAAAATGTCCAATCTCACTACTTGAAACTTTTAATGAATAAGTAGCGAAGGATGGATTCGACTATGAAAACAAACAGTAAAACTAAAACAAGTGTTTTTGGATGACAAATTCTGCTACAAAGAACTGTGTGTTTAAATGCATTTTTATTTTTATCTTATTGCTTTAACTGTAACAACGCAAATAAACTTAGATTAATATTTTTAGCTGTTTACTGTGATAACGGTAGCCTGACAATCGATGTTGATGACTGTCACAGATTCTTCATTTGTCAAAATAACCAATGGGTAGGACCTCTCCCATGTCCAAACGATCTCTATTGGAGCGAAAAAAGCAAAGGATGTGTCAAGCTTGAGGATTCTGACTGCCGTAAGTATACTATTATTAATTGAATTCAATTATTAAAATTCTTTTCCATCTATTCTGTTATCAGTAGTAATATCCCTAGGATATTGATAACAGGCGAGATAATTTCATGACAATCGAAAGCTCGTTCCTTGGTAACAGCACGAAGTCGAAGGCTGAGTGCTGTTACCAAGCAACGAGCTTGAGAAATTTGTCATGAAATTATGAGGCATTCATCAATGTCCGAGGGATATTCGGCGGATAATTTTTCGAAAAAAAAAAAATCATAACTCAACATAACGAAACATTTATTTATTAAAAGTACAGTTAGTGAAAGTACAATTATTAAAATTTAAGTTAACATTAGATTGGTTGCTGTTCTCTACTATAGAAGATCTATTGTCAAACTCGATCGTGTTGTCATAGGGATTGAAAATTGCACTGAATGCAATTATCAGTCTTTTTTTTTATTGAGATAATGCCTCGACAACTATAATCATTGCCATGGTACAGTGAGGTACCTAGTATAGTGTGTGTGTATGTGTAGAGTAATTATCTTGATACTTAGCAAAGTTGACGTCATTGTCTTTGCTAAGAGACGCTAATTGTATCCAAACGTCTGCGGTCGGTTGTTGAATGGTTGTTAGAACAGTCGAAAAATTATCGTAATAATTATTAAAGTTTTAAATTATGCATATTATTCCTTAGTTCAGTAGCTAAATCATTGTTATTATAATATATTATTGTTAATTTTTTCTTTTTGTTTCAGCGAAATAACACAAATATAATAAACGATAGTAATAATGTTGTACATTTCATCAATAATTATTAAACCTTAATATAATATGCTTTTTTTTATTACCATGTCATATCTCCACAAAATATTTAGCACTGCTGTTAACGACAGCAATGGAACTGTCAGTGGAACAATGTAACGACAACAATAACGCGAACTCAGAGATGTATAAGTATATTTGTAGACGCAGTTGTAGACAAAGACAAATGTATAACCAGACTTTGAAAACATTAGTACGTATCTGCTGTAACACAGGAAACAGAAACACATATGATAGAATACGTAATTCTCTTAGAAAAAGGTACTTTTGAGTAGAAGGGTACCTAATTGTTCATAATATTGCTTCATGCTCTAACAAAGAATTAATGGGAATAATAATTAGAGCAGACGGACTTAAACTACAGTAGAAAAATAGCCTCGAATATGATAAAACATATTAAGCACGGATCCTACAGCACGATATATTTTAAATAACGTAACCGGTAACTAGGTAGCATACTTACTTTTATTTTTTATTATAATTATGTTTATTTACAATCTACATAAAAAAGAGTATTAAGTAAATATAATACAGGTTTTGTGCGTGAAGCGGAGACATCCAATGATGTCTCACCTTATTCTATTTTGCTTTAGTTCTGAAGAAGGTCTTGGGGCCAGGTTCTATATAGTCTTCTTGAAGCTGGTCCATCGTTGTATAATTCCCTTACTAGCTCATTTTTGTGGTGAATGATACGTTCATTTTGTGACTCCGAGGTTCAATGGATTTCTTCTCTGATGAAAGGAATCTTTAAGTCATAGTGGAGTGTTTGGTTACTTACGTACCAAGGCGCATCCACTATCGATCTTTGTACTTTAGACTGGAATCTTTGGATAATATTCAGCGACGTTGGCTTTGCACAGCCCCATAAGACGTATAGTCCGTACAACCAAATAGGTTTAAGCAAGGATTTGTATAGAAGAATTTCGTTTTGGATGTTAAGTTTTGATTTACGTCCAAGAAGCCAATATATTTGACGGAATTTTAAGTCGAGCTGCCTTCTTTTGGTCTGGATACGTTTCTCTTAAGTGAGACGTTGGTCAAGATAGAGGCCAAGGTATTTAGCGTCTGTTACTGTTAGTATTCAGGACTGCTACAAATAAGATTAAATGAGCAATTGTAATGGCCAACGTCTTTAAGGATAAGGCACCGAAAGAAGAAGGCTGTTGGTATTCTTACCTTTTCTATCCTTACAGGTGTGCATATACTGTGACGGTTGGTAAATGTTATTTGAGTTGATTTTGTTTTATTGACTTTTTTCTCTATTTCGTACAGCGTTGCAGTATTTTTTTTCTTTAAGACTTTTTGATATTTCATTTATCATTCAATGAACTTGTTGGGTACTGGAGGGATTTTCTCGAAAACCAAACTGATATTTTGGAAGGAATTCATGATCTGCGTATATCCTTTGTAGTAGCAATCTATAAAAAACTTTGCTTACGGTTGGGAGTAGGCTTATGGGTCGATAAGATGTTACTTTATTGGGCTCTTGTCCTAGCTTAAGGATCATAATGACTTCAGCAAATTTCCAAATTTTTGGAAAATGTGATAATCTTAGCATGCGGTTAAATATAACTGTTAGCAAAGTTATGGTCTTGCGGGGAAGTTCTTTTAGTACTTGTGCCGAGATTAAATCATAACCTGGGGCCTTTCGTGAATTGAGTTTATTTTTTTTTTCCGACTTCTATAGGAGTAACACTTTTAATTGGGAGGGAAATTTGACATGCTGCGCTAATTAGTTTTTACCTTTATTCCTTACTTCTTCATCAGGGTCTGCTGGCTCTGTTTAAAATACGTTTGTTGGATGTTCAGCAAAAACGTCCGCTTTTTCTTTGTTGGAACAGGCCCATTCGCCATTTGGTTTACGGATGGGAGGAATGGTTGTGTATGGTTTCTTAAGCTTCTTAGTCGCCTTCCATAACGTCTGGTGATTTACTGTAAGGTTTGTAATGTAATGTTCGAAGGTTCGTTGTTTGCGGCTTTGATGGCTACTCCAAGTTGCCTACGTAGTCTATTGAATATATGTAGGTCTATGTTGTTTCTAGATCTTTGCCAAGTTCTTCTCGCACAACGTTTTTCAGCAATGAGTTGGCGAATGTGCAGGGAAACATTTGTGGTATATGTTGGTTTGCGTTCAGTTCGTGGTGTAGATTGCCATGCCGCTTTTTGCACAAGTGTGGTGAAATATTGAGCTGCTGTATCTATGTCATGTGTAGATTTGATCCGCAGATTAACATGGGTGTTTTCTTCTAGGTAGGATTGAAAATCTACCCAGTTGGTGTTTTTTGACGTGAGTCGATGAGGTGGTGGGCTGTTTATAACTGTGGTACTTAGGCTGATAATAACCGGTGTATGATCTGATGAGAGATCAAGTTTGATTCTATTAGACAGTTGTTTCTAGACACTCATTTGCTTATGTAATAGTCCAGCAGATCTGGAAGTTTTCTTGGGTTACTCGGCCAGTACGTAGGGATTCCGTTGGTGTGGCAATCATAGTTGTTGTCGGTCATTGCTTTTAGAAGATTACGACCTTTTGTTGTTGTGAGTCTTAAGCTCCAGTGTATGTGTTTCGCATTCCAGTCTCCCCAGCTACAAATTAGCTGCCAAGAAATTGGAAGAAGGCTTTGTATTCATCTGTGAAGAGGTGTGACGAGGTGGGCTATACATTGCAGATAGGTTAAAGTGCCATAGTGTTGCATTTACTTAAACGATTGTTGCTTGTATTTTTCCTGTTGAATAATTCGGCAATACATGATGTGATATGCAGCTGCGGATGATTACCGCAGAGCCACCATGAGCTGTACCATCAGGATGAGGTGTGCTGTATGTGGTATAAAGCGGAATATTGAACGTAGTTAGATCGGTAAAGTGAGTTTCTGTAATAACTTACTTTTATTAAATGTTAAAACGTAAGGCAAAACACAAAATAGCAAAAAGAATAACTAACTCTCAAATCTAATTTTTGACCTTTTGCGATCGACGTCAAAGTATCGACGTACAAAGAGCAGATTAAATATGTTGGCCTTAGAACTAAAGAGGGATTGCTAAAGCTATCTGATGACTGCATCATGACTTAAACCAGGAAGAGAGTCTAATATACCAAATAACTTTCAACCAAATTCGTTACTGTGCCAGTAATTTTAATTATATGCACGGAGGAAGTTATATCGTAACCATAAGGCTGTTAATTCTAATCTAATTATCGAACAAACGAAACCAATCAAGACTAAAATTATAATGAAAGGGTTTTCTAAGCTGTATGCTTGTCATGGACTAGGTAAGTTATCGGCTGTATTGTAAATAGAGGTAAAACGAAAATATTTACTTTTAATGGTTTAGATATCTTTGTGTGTCATAATCGCGTGATCTACCCAACTAATATAGATGAGAGTAATAAAAGAATGGAGGTGGAAGGTGCATTTAATATATCTATAAATTTTTTTAGCTTAAGTGTCTACTAAGTCTAAGACTATTGGCACTTACTTTATATAACTGAGTATTAAATCTTATTAAAAAGATTAGTGTCTTTGAGGAAGTGTGGCACTTTGGTGCATTGACTTGGATAGTTTAGAGTATCTGCAAGCGATGTCTTAAAGTTATTTTTCCGGGCATAGCTGATAAACTGTTAGCAATTCGTTAATATATGATTTCCGGTAAGGGCTAAATTGCACCGTTGATATGTTAGACGTTCATCGGTGTACATTAAGTAACCGCAAGCGTCACCTTTTTAAACTACTCATTTAAAAATTATCTGATGGAGTTTGCGAACATACTGTAAAAAATATTTCTGAGCAACTCAAATTCCTCAGCAATAGTTTTCTTAATTTCATTCATTAGATTGGCATTATCATGAGATGAGCTTAGGCTATCCACAACAAGAGTATGTTCTTGTATTTCGGGAGCTTGGTATTGGAGGGTTTCTTTTACCTCTCCTTGCAGATGTAGTATTAAGTCCAAACTCGTTCGCAGTTTGCACACAAGTTTGCATTTTATTTTGCCTTTATTCTATTAATTTATATTGACTTAAATTGGAGTTGTGTTAGACCACTTACTATATTATTCTGAAAATTTCTACTCCATCCTCTGAATCGACCATTTTTGAATGTTACACCATAATTTCTATGTTCTACTTAATAATATTAGGCATATTTTATGTACCTATTTAATAGGAACTAGGTAAGGCAAAAATAGAAACCGAATATTTAATATTTTTATTTAGCTAATAAATGAATTAAGTAGTTTTTTTGTACAATCCGAAATATTCTTCGATCACTATTTTGTATCTGTAAGTCAGCGCCGCTTTTAATTATTATTCCAGGCTAAAAAGTATAAATTAACATTTAAAAATACAAATTAAAATAAAGTAAAATAATTATAATAGAATATGTGCTATATAATGACATAAAAGATATGGCCCATCTTTACTTTCAGAACGAGTTTTATGGTTTTTAATCAATTTTATTATTTCGTTGGACAGTATATATGTTTACAGACTATTAGAAATAACTATAGGTCTGTAGATCCAACCTCAACTATACACGAAGGTATTAATCTTTGAAATTTATGGATTAAACTTAGCCTGTTAAAAAAAATAAATAGATTCTAGGGGGAGGTATGACTTCTTCTTTTGGTGCCCTATTCAATTAGTGGATGTTGGCGACAATTCTGGCATAGTCCTCTCGATCTTGTGTGTGGCTCTAAAGAGTGTATGGGCATCGAGGTTTGTCCAATCGCTTATGTTTTTAAGCCATGAGTATTTCTTTTTTCCGATGCCCCATTTTCCGTCTATCTTCCCTTCCATAATAAGCTTTAAGAACTAGTACTTGGAATTTCGAAGTATGTGACCCAGATAAGCAGTTTTTGTTCTTTTTATTATTGGCAGCAATTCTCGTTCTCTGCCCATTTGATTTATTACTTCGACATTTGTTGTGTGATCTGTCCAGGGAATTTTAAGTAGTCTTCTAGATACCCACATTTCAAAGGCATCCAATCGGTTCATCATATTGGCCGTTATGGTCCAGGTTTCTACACCATATAGGAGTATGAAGTAAATGTTACATTTTACAAAGGGATATCGAAGCGTTAAGTTAAGGCTGCTGATGCTTAGCAAGGTTCTTATATTAGTATATACTATTTTGGCTTACTCAATCCTGCTACGTATCTCTATGTCTGGATCTAAATCTCCAGTTATATAACAACCGAGATATCTGAACTTGGGGACCATTTGGATGTTATTATTGTTAACTCTTATATTTAATATCATATATTGTGTTCTACTACTACTTTAATGTGAACCATTACCTTCGTCTTGTCTATAATAATCTTCAAGCCCAGTCGTTCCCCTTCAGTGTTTATTTTTTTATTAGTCGTTGTAGCGCTTCTTGGCTATTAGCTATTATGACTGTATCATCAGTTTAGCGAAGATTACTAATAGTCTGTCCGTTGATTTTGATTCTGTCTTTAGTGTCACTTAAGGCTCTATCAAACATCGTTTCAGAGTAAAGATTAAAAAGAAGGGGTGACAGAACACAACCCTGTCGTACACCTTTTTCGATTTAGAAATATTGTGTAGATTCCAGTCCTACTCTCACAGATGCCACTTGATTCATATTAACGTATGGCACCAAGATGATTTTTTATTAAACCACTTAAGAATATCTTTAAAAAAGCTAGATTTAAACAGTTCAGGTAATCACGTAAACAGACATTATTACTTGTGATAAAATTCAAAAAATTGACAAACTAAGAAGAATATCTAAAAAGTTAATTAAAACAAATAAACAAAAGTGTACTTTTTTAAACGTAGATGTTTCCTAAGGACAACATAAAAAATATAGCGAGACAACGATCTTTAAAAAAAATGCTGAATATTAAATTAATTATCAGATTTTTTTTAAACAATAAAAATACACCTAATCTACGAGATTAATCAGCATCTTTTCTCTAATATAGTTTTCTATAATTGTTTGTAAGCTAGATGTCACCTGGTTCATCCTAGCTTTATTTGACATAAAATTCCCACTTCTTTGTTGTGGCTACAATGCATAACACTAACTAAGCCTTGCACAACTTCACACATATAGATTCACAGATATATTTCTTCGCATTAGGTTCTGAAGAGTTTCTAAATTTTTATAATTGCTTTTTTTATTCAACCCCATAATTATACGCCATAAGTCTATATATATACTATATAGTATATACTACCGATTACTGACTAAAGCTTAACGAGATTTTTATTTTTTCTGTTAGATGTCGATTTCCATAATGTTGCTCTATAAACTAGGGCATTAAAATTAATTAAAAAGTCATAATGCAGATACTTACGACAGTTAACAGTTTCAGGGGGTGCACAAAGATTGGCTAGATTGCTAAAGAACAATCCTTTGGAGCACTCAAAATGACCTATTTTACCATCTTGATTATAAACATAATACTTAGAACAATCTTTGGGATCGGGCCAGAATTGAAATAGTTTAGAATCTAAAACAAATACAATTAAGATACGTAAATTACGCAATAGTAACATATCATAGTCCCATCTAAAGTTTAGACGTCATCTTTGTCTCTTTGAATCCCTTTAATAGTAGGTAGTGCGAAAAAGTCATGTTAAAAATTCCGTGTCGCTATAGTGCAGAAAAGTTGGGATTGGTAATTACATACAAAACAAGAAAAATATTCAAGTCGGATTTCAGTTTCTGATCCTGCAGCGGGCCTTAATATTATGAAAAAAATAAAATTTTACGTTTTTTTCAAAAAATTTTATTTTCTGCAATACTAAAATTTATTTATTTTTTAGGGTGAAATAATACGGACTGTAATGTAAACATAGCTAAAAAATAAAGAAAAAAAATAAGGGGTAGTAGCCTAGAGAAGACTAATAATTATTTAAATAATTATTATATATCCCAAATTGAATAAAGGACAAATAATTCGACATAGAAAACGTATACATTTCAAATTAAACAAAGAATGATAATATGACCTAGTTAAAGTGTATAACACGAGTTCAATATCACAAGTCAGCAAAAGCTCGACCTCAGTAAATAAGAATACGGGTTCATAAAAAACGAACGAAGTGGTCCAGGGAGTCAGGAAGAGTAGAACCGTCGACAAGCACGGGCGATCAAGTGATCGCGCTATTGTATTTCGACGGGATAATAGTACCGTATAAGTGCCGGGTACCTGGAGTTTCGAAAACTCGTGATACCGCGCGGTGCCTCCACAACTGAACCTGAATTCTAGTAGGACTGAAGGGCGTATTTATTAGCTAGAGTCTAAATACGCGAAGGTAAGTAAATCTATTTATTAACCCAAGTAATATACAGAAACGCAGATTGTCCACCCTTTAATTTCTTCCTAAGGTCTCTTCTCGTGTCCCTTCGCGCCTGAACGAATCTTTATTGGTTATAACTGACAGCTTGTTAACTTAATTGTAGTATACAATCTATTTAATACATTTTTAGACTCTAAACTTGGTTTTATTGTTCCTTTTTGGCTGCTACAGGCAGAGACTAAAAGAGTACACAATTTCCGCTTATGCATTTATCCGGTTTCTAAAGTAAGCCCATAGACTTAACTCTTTACAGGACCTGAGACCTAGAAGTCCTTAACCCTTTTTCCAGATTTTCCCACCCTCTTGTAAATCCACAAGGGCGAACCAGCCAGTTTAGACTAGTGGGACCAGTAATCCTTGCCTCCGCTCGCATTGATAAGCATCCTTTAAAGTTTAAACCGAGGATGTTACAGAGGTTACAGTAATTTTAACTCCGCTAGTATTACAGGACGGAGGCATATTTGCCATCTATTTTTAAGAAAGGAGATAGACAACGATGCGAAAATTACAGATAAATAAGCGTAATACCATCAATAGGAAGATTATATGGAAAAATTTTACGAAAAAAGATAGAGCAAGCGATAAAAGACAAAATCAGGGAGGATCAGGCAGGGTTCATGGAAGGAAGATCATGCATAGACTTTATATACACAATGGAACAACTGTTGAAAAAAAAAGCAAAAAATAGTGATATACATTAGGCATTTGACGACCTGAGAAAGGCGTGTGACTCTGTACCAAGGTCAAAACAAAAGCTCTAGATAAACAAAATATAATGTTCATTAAAATGGAAACAACAATCATAGGAGACTTCACCACAACAAAAGGGCTTCTGTAGGGTTGTTTCACATCTTCAATTTTATTTAAAATATACTTAAAGAAAGCCTTGACTACATGGAAAAGAAAATCTGAAGGTATGGGAGTACCGGTACGAAAAGAATACCTATAAACGTTAAGCTTTGCAGATGATCAAGTAGTGATTGCACAAGACCTTAGTTACACGAAGAAGAAACTACAAGAAGAATATACCAAGGCTGGCCTAGATATTAACCTCGCGAAAATAGAGTACTTATCTAAAAGTAAAGAAGACATAGAAGATCTACAGATTAACAACAACGTCACAGTCAAAGAAAATGATTAAAATTAAAATACTTGGCATTTTTTCTTCTTAACGTGCCCTAATAAGTCCCCTTGACGTTGGCGATTAACATGGCGAAACTGTCTCTGTCTCGAGCTATTCTAAAAAGTTGCTCAGTTTTCCTTATTCCTGTCCACTCTCTGATATTCTTCCACCAAGAAGCCTGCTTTCTACCAATTCCTCTGCGTCCTTCGATTTGGGGTTTATAATCACGAAAAAGGCAACAACAGATGAAGAAATTAAGCAAAGATTAGGACAAACAAGAACAACAAACCGACAACTTAACTCAGTATGGTGGCATAGACACCTAAATATGAAGACAGAAAACACATATTTATAACATATTAGTGAGAATTATTATTACATATCGGGGTAAAAAGTGGATTATAAACTAGAAAAACAACAGTGAGAGAGATAGTAGCAACAGCGATGAAATGCCTGCGAAGATGCTGTAGAGTAACAAGAATGGATAGAGGAAGTAATGATGAAATAAAGCAAAGAATATCAATAGAAACAGATGTACTAACATATATAGAACAAAAAAGACTAAAGTGGATGGACATGTAAGAAGAACTAGCGACAGCAGATGGATAAAGAGAATAATCGAAAGAAGCCCCATATGAAGGAAGAAAAGAGGACGACCCTGAAGATCCTGGAGGAATGAAGTAGAAACGGTTGAGCGAGGGAAGGTGGTGAATACTGTAGAATCCCTGAATATTTGTGATGAAATAATAACAAAATTAGTTCTTTGTATTTAACAATTACCTTCCGATCGCGTGAGGTCAATCAAAATCTCAGGATCTATACAAATGTTGTAACATTTTTTTTATTATTAATATATCAAATTATTTTTAATTCCTTTTACCCCCGTGCGATACGCCAATGATTAGGAATCTCCGTGTTAACGATGGGAAAATATGATTGTAGACACCAAGCTGAAATGGAATTCCCTAATTAAGAAAGGTTTTTAATCCTTCCGTCTTAATACTCTGTATGAAAAGAACAAATGCTTTCCGGAATGCAGTTTCTTTTTCATAAATTGGTAATTTTCGTCAAAGGCCGTATCTTTTGACAATAATATAATCCTAAGGATTTTAATATTCTCAGGTCCAATTGTTAATACTGATTATTTTACCTCAAACTTTCCAATAGTCGTTAAGGCCTTACCTTCTGAGAAATACATATGACTGTCCGATGATTTTAAGTGGGGGATATACCTTCTTCTTCTTTTTTCTTGGATGGTTGGTGAAATTTTTAGGGAACCAACTTACTTCTCGATGGGCTCTTGTTGTGTGAAGTGGTATCTCGTGATGCGCGTTGCTCACCATATTTCTTATCTTATCGTCGCGGTAAATTATTTTCTAAGTGTGTGTACACTTCATATTTGAGTTTTCTGTCCTTAGACTATATTAAATTATATATAGTTCTACACTACCTTTAATGGTTATTAAATTCAGTGTTTAGTACCGGAAAAGTATTAAATTCAGTGAATTAAGCTGTCTTCGTCAAGATCTACTGTAAGTAATCTTTTTCTACAATTATCTGGGCGAGTAATATGGTATGGTATCATATCACCTGCCATTATCTGGAAGTATCATCTATATCTTCACCTGTAGATTGCCGACTTTAGAATGTATTTGAACCATTCAAGAAATTTCTATAAATATTACCTATGAACATACAAGTCTCAGTTTTTTATTAAATAATAGTGCGAGATAGTTAATTGACTTAACAAAGTGCGGTTTGGTTTATGTTTTCATTTCTGTAACCTTTTGGTTTCTTTTGTAAATTTAGAGTTAAGTAATTTTTGCTATCTTTTGTATTTCCTATAATTTTTGTTCATTATCTTTCCTATGATATCTCGAGATACGCCAAACTATATTTGTATATGATTGCCTTATATATCTTGGTAAAGGTATTTTTTTGTTACATTATTGCTTAATTTTATACATATATAACACCATTTCAGAGTTGTGTATTTTTATTACCTGTGTTGCATTTAGCAGCATCATAATTTTGTGTTTAATATATTGTTATTGTTTTATGCATGTATTTTATTTGTCGGCTCCTAACAAGTCCCAAAATAATAGCTCTGAACAATTACTATCTTTAAATATTACTATGCTTTTGAACTGTAGAAAGATCAGGCTGATTAAGTTTCGTAGGTAAGTAAGGGTCATACTTAATATATTTAGTATTTGTTTATATATTGCGTTGACCAGATTTATTTGATAATTTACTGTTGGTATCTTTCCTTGGATCTCTGAACCTAAATATCTTTTCTTATCTCTTTTCTTTCCTAAGGTTTTCTTTATTTTCTTCTTAACCCCAAAAAATTGAGTGGTGCCCTGTTTCTATCTTCTCTTATCTTTGGTAATTTTACCCATCTATCTTTTTGTTTATTTCTGCATCTTTTCTAATATCTCTTATCCTATCTTTACCTATTTCTTCCGTTGGATCCATTCCCGGTTCCAAAAGCTAGTTTCGAACCCACGACTCGTTCTCCATCAACCATCTGGCTGCCGTCCGCAGTGTCTCCATTGGTTATCTTTCTTGCACCACCCAAAAAAGATTTCCGAGGTTACAATGTGAAATTTATGCTATTTTGAACAAACAAAAAAATTAGTCTTTATTACAATCCATAGGTTTATATCTACACGTACAATGATATAATTGAGCATTTTTTTAACCATGCAGAACTCATAATATGGACTGTCTAGTAGTCGGCATACCACAGTGCTGAGTTGAAGAGAAGGATATGGGTGGAGCTCGAAGTGCAGCTACCTTCGCGTGGTGAGTTCTTAGTTACTTAAATATTCTCATACCATATCTAAACAAACCGAGAGCTGCACAATGTAACTAACTTTATAATATATTAAACAAAAAATAGAGGTAAATGTTTTTAATTATGAAACTCATCAAACATTTCAATTTTTTATAGATTTTGATTGACCTTGCCGGATCCGAAAAAATTCGTGAAATGCGTAAAACTATTGTTTTTATTATTTATCCATGTGAACTGTTAATAAATTTCACTATAGCGGTAAATAAAACATACATGGAAAATAAATAAAAATTAAAAAAACGTAAAATTTAATTTTTTACATAATATTTAGGCCAGTTGCGGAATCGGAAGATAAAGTGGATTTAAATCATTTTTTTTTGTAATTTCTCATCGCAACATTTCCGCATTAAAGCAGCACATAATTATCAACTTGACTTTTTTTGATAGTTACAGTTAAAAAAAGCTGAATAAATTATTATAGTTTGCAATAAAAATAGTATAATATTTTAATACTTACAACAATGAACATTTTCGTGGCGATCACAAATGTTTTGCTGGTCATCAAAGAAAAAGTCTTTGGGACATTGAGCTATATATATTTTACTATTTTTGCAGTAGTAGAACCTCGAACAGTCACCATGATAAGGCCAATATTGACTTGATTTGCAGGCTGAAACGTGGTAAATAAATAAAAAACAAGTAACAATAGATTAAGCCTTTATAATAAAAGTAATCCTGTATACCGCTAAATATAGGTAATAGCAACGTGAAAATCATATGTACCTACGTCCCACAGGTAGGGTGTTAAGAACAGGAGAAAAAAAAATTTTGGGGTCCTTAATTGCGAGATGCTCGAGAGTCCTGACGAAGTGTTATATTGCAGGTGATTTGAACGGATATTCAATATTAGTACTAAAATAGCGGGAATATAAAGAGTTCATGGAAGTTTTGGGGATAAGAATAAGAAATGATGAAAGAAATGAAGGAAATAGTGTAATTTACGTATAATCATACGTTCTTTATGAAGAACTATTCCCACTACCCCCCTCTCAGTACCTATAGTAGTGGGGGAAGAGAAAGTCTGATAAATTTTGTTTTGTGAAAAAGAAGTCAAATAAAAATAATAAAGAACTGTTAAGTGATAAAAATTGAGTGTGTAGCTAGTCAACACCGACCGGTAAAAGTAGATATGGTGATAAAGGTAATGCGGAAAGGAAAAAAAGTAGGACAATAAAAAGAAAAGTGGTGGAAGTTAGACGACAAATCTTTGGCAATAGTCTTTAAGAGTAGAGTATTGGAAGAGCTCAAAGAAAAAGATAAGGTAAACAACTGATGAGAAGCCAACAACAAATTTGTAGTTCTAGTCAGAGAGGAAGTGTAAGGAAAAACATCTGGTAAAGGGTCTCCTAGAGACTAAGAAACTGGGTGGTGGAACTATGAGGTGCAACAGAAAATTATAGAGAGAAAAATAGGTTGGAAAGAGGTTTGACAGGTCCAAAATAAAGAAAGATAAAAATATATGCAAGGTGGCAAACAGGTAAGCCAAGCGCAGTAGCTACTGCTAAAAAAAGATTATCCGCACAGCGGTATTTAGAGTTAGATATGATATGACCGAGGGGATGAAAAGTTTAAACCGCATTGCTAACGCAAGGGATAAGTCATCGAAGAACTTGAATCTCGTACGGCAGAAAAGTGCTAAAAAGTTAATGTGGCACAAAAAAAAATGGGAGAGAACAGTAGAACAAAGTTTATGCCTGAATAGTTTGGGTTTGGGCTAAAAAGGAGGAGAAAGAATGCCTTGCTTCCGTTGAGACAGTTGATAGAGAAATCTAGCGAGAAGAAAAGAGAGCAATATTTGATATTTATAGACCTCGAAAAGGCATACGACATAGTTACTAGACAAGATCTATGAAGATATATGAGAGAGATCGCTTGTAACGAATATGTATCAACAAGCGTACACTACATTAAGGACTGCCGTCGAATTGACCAAAATTTTTCCAGTGACGGTTGGTTTGCATTAAGTCTTTACTGAGTCCCTACCTTTTTAATCTTGTTATGGATGTACTAAAAGAGGAAGTAAGGGAAAGGGCTCCTTGGTCAATGCTCTTTGCTGATTATATTGTGTTAGTAGATGATCACAAAGAAATCTTAAAGGAGAAGTTAAAGTGTTGGAGAAAAGCTATTAAAGTCAGTTAAGCTTAAGGTTAGCAGGTCGAACACGGAGTATAAAATATGTGGTTGGGAGAAAAAGGAATGATTGGGTACGTATAATTGCTTCGAAAAAAGGTAGGAAGTGTAGAAGAATTTAAATACCTTGGATCCTACATAATGAAAACTGAGACACTACATCGAAAAATTACTCTCAAGATATAGGCTAGTTGGGTTAGCTAGAAGCGAATGAGCGGTGTACTTTTTGATAGAAAATCGGAGAAGCGTAGGAGGAAAGATAATGTGGTGTAGTAAGACCTACGTTAGTGTACGGTGATGAAGTGTGGCGTGTAAAGAATATCTGGGCATAAAAGGAGGAGGTAACTGAAATGAAAATGTTACAATAGATGTTATGTAGGACTGTAGCAGTAACTACCGCTTTAAAACTGCGACAGACACAAATAATGAAACCTGGAGATCTAGTTGGCCACCTAAAAATCTCAGAAGAAATTTCATTGTTTTTTATGGACATGCTCACAGATGCTATGCCAGTCAAATTCGACTTTGAAACATCCTTTGAAGTGGTCATAGAAAACCACCAAATGGGTAAAGAGATTGAACCAAAAATGGAAGAAGGTTTACTTGTATGGTATACGGATGGATCTAAGATAGATGAAAGGGCAGGAATGGGAGTTACTGGGCCCAATTTCAGGCTAAATCTCTTTGAAACGCCCCAACTATCTTCTAGGCAGAAATACATGCTGTAGACATAAGTGCTCAAGAATGTCTTAACCGAGACAACAGTAGGGCAAAAGTCTTTATTTTATCAGACAGCCAAGCCGTATTAAAGGCTCTAAAGTCATTTACATGTAAGTCGAAGTTGGTTTGGGACTCTAAACAATCTCTCAAGAAGCTGTCGAAATGCAACAATGTAACTGTAATGTGAGTGCCAGGTCACAAGAGAATTGCAGGGAATGAGAAAGCTGACAGCCTCGCAAAAGAAGGAGCTAATACCCCATTGCAGGGTCCGGAACCCTTCTGTGGACTATCGAAAAGCTACATCAGAGAGGAACTCCGTACCTGGGAACTCAATCAACTGAGATTATATTGCTCTAACACACCAGGACAAAGGCAAACAAAAAGGCTCATAAAAGTGTCGCCTACTAGCGACCGCCCTCTCGAAATGAGTAAAAAAGATATCAAAATGGTCACTGGCCTTCTCACTGGTCACTGCCCTCTGAGATATCATCTGAAGAAGATAGGCAAATCAGATAGTGAGAACTGTCGTTTCTGTTACACTGAAAAAGAAACGGCAGAACATATACTATGCAACTTTGTAAGATATTATTAGTATAACGTTTTATTGGTTCTGGTCTGATAAAAAAGCATTAACTACTTCTAATATTTTAGGAACGAATTGGTTATGCTCATAACAAAGTACCTGTTTTATGTTTCCCAGTTTCTTAAGCGATCTTTTGCAAAAAAAAAAGTTGCTACTAACTTTTAAAGTATACATCAGAGTCTTTAGTGCAGAATTACTGTTAATGATTAAAAATATTTTGACCAGATTGAGGTATTTTTACAGGTACGCTTAAATAAAAAGTATACTAGAAGCAGTTCTATTTAAAATACTGTATATATTTTTTAAAATTCTGTTTCGCGTGTAAGAACTCTAGCTCTACTTATTATGGGTTTTACTTAATCGATGTATTACATAATAATAATATAATAAGTTGGTAATCTTTTTTAAAAACAAAATCTCTCAGGTTATATAAAAAAAATACATTGTTTTATTTCTTAAAATCTCTATGAGTCTAGTAAAGTTCAATCGGTTTTAAACACTTAAACTTAATCAGCCTAAAGACCTTTTCTCTAGTAATCCTTCTCGTATGTATCTACTGAACATTATGCAAGTCTATGGTTAAGTTGACTTGTTGATAAATTAATTTTTTGTAAAAACTTACTATAATCTGTTTTTTAACCAGGAGGAGTAAACCAAAAAGACAGATTCACACCCAAGAAAGTTACTAGAAAAGTCACCAAATACATCTTCTTTTTTTGTTGATTATCTCGGCCTTGCGGTAATCGAGTAGTCAATATCGGACAACCTCACACGTCAATTTTAACCTAATTTTATTTATGTTTGAATAATAATTTTTTTTTTTCAATTCACTTCCAATATATATTACAATTATTACAATAAAAAAAAAGGACTTTTTTCACATTTGGTCCCATGTATATATATTTGAATATCGGATGATCCAGTTTTATAGATCTCTTGAGTCTATGGTATTTAATTATAATTTAGAGAATATTTTGATCGGGAGAGTCAATAATGTTACAGATCTAAGTATGGTTTTTCTCAGAAATTTGTCTTTTAATAGTAGACCATATTCTTATTCTGGTATGATCAATTTCTTAAATCTAGTTTTTTTTTCTTACCAGATACTTTGTATAAATAAGTGTGTACAGTTGCGGTCACGGAATAGTTTACAGGTTCACGTATCTAGGAGCCCATTTTTTAAATTTTTACTTCGTTTAAACGCACCTTTTACGTCAAAGTGACGTTGCCAGTGGTGTACTAGCTAGAATAGGTAGACTAAAATTAAAATATCAAAATATTTTACAAAATGAAACATATAGAAAACAGTTTTTTAAATAAAATGGATTATGATCTTAATAACGAAAATAAAGAAGTCTTTTTTTTAATATGCATTTTATTTTAAATCTATTTTATATTAAATAACGATAAACAATGATAAATAATAATTAATATTTGGTGGAAGCCCCATTCTTGTCAATACAATTTTGCAGTCTTCTGTTCATAGATAGCACCAATTCTCTCATGTTATAGTTAACAAGCTCTTCCCATGCCTGCTCAATTGCTTCCCATAATTCAATTCTATTCCGTGGTCTAAGGTTTCTTTCATTTAGTTTCTTTGTTAACTCTGCCCACACATTTTCGACGGGTTTAAAGTCTGCACTACGGGAAGGCCACGGAAGAACATTAACATCAGTTTCTTCTAGCCATTCTCGAACAATTCTACTCGTATGCACCGGGCAATTGTCATGTTGGAAGATAAAGTCGTTGTTGGGGAATCTCTGGATCACCGATGGCAACATTGTGTGCTCAATGTTTGTAATATAATCCTGTTAACTTCTCCTCTACATGATAACAAACGCCCGGACCTTCGGCACTTATCCATCCCCATACGTTGACAGAGAATCCTCCACTATTTCTTAAATGATGCGTATACTGTTCATCATACCTATGATTTCTCGGCCTATAAACTCTTATTCGACCATTATTATACGACTGAAATACTTTTTCATCGGAAAATACAACCATAGACCAAAAATTCTCATCGCGGCTTATAAATTCATTACAAAATTCAACTCGTCTCCTCTTGTGATCCTCAGTCAAAAAAGGTTTCCGTGCAGCTACACAATTTAGCAGTCCACTTGCTTTAATTCTTCGACGTGCAGTGCGAATACGGCCTGGAAACGCTGCCTCTTCTCTTGCCTTTTGAGCTGTGGCAAAAGGAGATTCTCTCAAATAATCTACTAACATCTCATCCTGTTGATCTGTGGAAATCTTCTGCCCTCCTGAACCGCCCAACCGTGCTATAGAGTGAAAATTATCCCATCTTTGTTTAATCTTCCATATGCACATATGACTCACGTTCAAATCAGCAGCAACTTGCCTTAGTGACCAACCTTCTTCGAGTTTGGCAATTGCTCTTGCTTTTTGCGCATAATTCAAATGTATTCTAACCATTTTGGAAGAGTTTAATATACTTTTATTTTATTGTTGAACACTCGCGAAAGCATTGACGTTTTGAAATTTTTTGACTTTGACATTTATCAAATCCGCAGGACACTGCAATTTTACAGTATTACAATATAAAAAGTAAGGTGTAAACTATTCCGTGACCGCAACTGTACTTACAATTTCTTTAACGCTGGATTCTTGTTCAGTTTTGACAGTGAGTTTGTCCCATTTGTTATTAACAAATAAAATTTACTAAAAAATACTGGATTTCTGTGAGATAATCAACAAATCCAATCTATTATGTTACATTATTGCATAATTTTGCAGTTTTCTTGTGATGATCTACAACCAGTGTATCAATACAATCAAACTAAAACACAACATTACTTTACTAATGTTCTTTTATTGTGATGAAAACAAAATGGAAATGCTTCTTAACAAGTATAAACTAAATTTAAAGGATAGTAAAGGGTAGTTTTTCTTATGATAATTAGATGTAAATAACATACATTTATAAATTTATAAACACTTTAAACTATATTAGTATAAAATTTAGTATAAATATTATCTAGAAAAATATCACATTAAATACTATCCGCATATCACCAAGTACAAGTCATTACAAACAACTTAAAGAGTCAGAAATCGATTTATATATTAGAGGAAAATAACAATAATAAATAAATTTCACAAATATCATTAGTGTCAATATGTCATAATTTAGTGGAGTAAACTTTCCTGCGGTTGGACCAATTGCAAACAAGCATTACGGCGCGGAAAATTTGAATTACTCCTCCTGGTTAAAAAACAGTCCATAGTCTAAGATTGTGAGTTTAAACTGTTCATCGCCAACATGCGCATCTCAATGTTTATAACAACTATAAATTCATCACCTAAATACCCGGAAATCAACGTAGAACATGGTATAAAAGCAACAGTGTCAATAACCATAGATTTATTCATTAAACATGACACACAAACACACTAACAAAAAATACAGATATAGGGATAGCGCACTGTAAAAATTGTTGTTCAAGTATGTGTGCCCGATAAATTAGGCAACTTTAAATAATTGTAAAGTTTTTAGGGCATGTATGTTCTGTACTTCCCGTTCTTTTAACTTCTGCGAATAAAATAGAACTGATAAAAAAATGACTGTTTAAAAATCGTAGTCAGAGAGAAAAACAATATGTTAATCGAAAACAAAAATTGTAAAGGGAAGAAACGGAGAGGCAACTTTAATTGCGGATACTGGATCTACTTCAAACAGGTCAAAATAACCTTAAACGGGACAATCGCTGCAATCAACCTTTGTAGCAATTCCCAAAAAACCAAGTTTAACAACTTACTCAGACCACAGAACAAAAGCTTTACTGAGTTACACACTTAAAACATTTTTGAAAATAATTCACAGCAGAATTGTTAAAAATCCTAAATATGAGATTAGCGACACACAATTTGGCTTTAGAAATGGTATAAATACAAGAGATGCTTTGTTCGGCTTGAATGTGCTGGCTCAAAGATGCATGGACATGAATCAGAATATGTACTTATGTTTTGTAGACTTTGAAAAGACATTTGATAAAGTTCAACATAAAAAGCTTGTAAATATATTATTAAAAAGCAAAAATATTGACAGTCGTGATCTGAAAATTATATCTAATCTATATTGAAATCAAACTGCCAAGGTAAGAGTTGACAGTCAGTTTACCGAAAATATCAAAATACAGAGAGGAGTCCGCCAGGGTTGCGTGCTGTCCCCACTACTTTTCAATGTCTACAGTGAAGCGGTATTTCAAGAAGCGCTCTCAAACCTAATAGAAGGTATATCTATCAATGAAGAAGTTTTGAATAACTTACGTTTTGCAGACGATACAGTAATTATTACGGATAACAACAATGATTTACAGAACGTAATGCAACGCCTTAATGAACGCTGTCATGAGTACGGACTGAAGATAAATTTAAAGAAAACTAAATGCATGATCATGATTAAATCTGCACATGCAAATATCAAATTGACTATTGAAGATACTGCAATTGAGAGTGTTAATAACTATAAATACTTAGGAACATGGATAACATCAGACGTAGACCAAACCAAAGAAATTAAGACACGTATTGAAATAGCACGTACATCATTTATTGAACTTAAAATGTTTCTTTGTTGTCGGGATATAAGGTTAGAACTACGCCTGATAATGCTTAGATGTTACGTGTTCTCTACTCTTCTTTATGGTTTGGAAGCTTGGACACTAAAACAAGTTCATCTGAAGAAGTTGGCCGCCTTTGAATTTTGGTGTTACAGAAGAATCCTACGAATATCATGGATTCAAAGAATGTCAAACAAGGAAGTAACTAAAGGATAGGAAATGAGGCGGAAATAATATTAACTATTAGAAGACGAAAACTTGAGTACTTGGGACATGTAATGAGAGGGCAAAAATACGCATTATTACAACTTATTATGCAGCGCAAAATCCGAGGAAAGCGAAATGTGGAAAGACGAAGAATATCCTGGCTTAAGAACTTAAGGGAATGGTTTGAATGCAGTAGTGCAGAACTTTTTAGAGCGGCAGTCGACAGAGTCCGCATAGCCATGATGATTTCCAACCTTCGATAGAAGATGGAACTTAAAGAAGAAGAAGGGATCAGCACAACACAGATACAGCACAGTAAAGCAGTTTCCGCATAATTAATGATACTATAGAATGCTTCGTAGTTGCCGTAATATAAAAGTCCCAAGTTAACCAGCACTACATAAAAGACATATCGGGTATGGGCGAAGAAGGTATCTGTAGTAGTTTAGCTTAAACTCCAAATAACTTATTTAGTCGACAATTTAAGGTATAAAATATGCTGTAATAAGGCTAGTTTTAAGCAGATGACTTCATGAGATGAATAAAAATGCTTTTTTTAATATAGAAGATTGTACTAACAGGTTAAGAGTTTAATTAAGTAACATGTACAATTTATAAGCCTACAAGTTAAGGATCTGTTTGGGCAGTTGTCAATAACAACAAGATTTATTAATAATATTGACATATTAATAGTCATTAAAGAAATAGACAAGGATAAAGAACGATTCTAGTTAAATCGTCGTTTCTTATTTTTATAAGAAGTAGACTAATTGTCACGGCTTCTGTACTTCTGCATCTGCCTGTAATGCTGAATGATATAACTTAGACTACCACTATACCGAAAAAAACCAAAAATTATTCCAAAAATCGTTCGTATCCGAATCAAGTAACAAACCACATAATCGTACAATTTGTTTAGTACATCTAATCTACAATTTATTATTTAAAATCAATGTTTCTTCAATCAACTTCAGGTCCATTGTATTATTGTACATTTAATAACGAATATCACAGACACATGGTGATGAGCGGTATATTCTTAAATCGGTTATAAATTTTCGAGAACTTTATTATTCACTACAGTATACAGAAATAAAAGTCTAAAAATGGTGCTATTCTGGATAATGACTGAAATTTAATGCTAAATAAATAAAAATTAAGGAACACACCTATTTGTTCTTCTTTTTAAATTGCTGACACTAAAAATGTTCTAATAATAAACATTAAATAATATATTGTGGATAAAATGTAATCTGCTAATTTTGTGCCAAAAGTCTGAAACGTTTGTGTTTGGCTCATGAAAATTATTTGAAATATTTAAAAACCTTTGGACAAATATTTAATAGACCTGTTGGAAATTGAAATATTATTTCAAATATTATTTTACATTCTGTGTATTATATTGTGCACTATAGATCAACAAGTAAATATAATATTGCTAAATGAATATTTTTAAATTAGTTTTTCTTTTATATTTACTTACTACATTCAACATTATTTGATTCATCGCAAACATTTGAGGTACTGTTAAAAAACAATCCCATAGGGCATGGCCAGTGCTGTACTTTTCCGTCACTGTCACACTCATAAAATAACGAGCAATCATCAGGATCAGCCCAACGTTGACCTGGTGTACAATCTAAAAAATTATAATAATTTTATAAATTTGTGTTAATCGTCAAAGAAAGAATATGACAAAAAATTGGCCAAAAAAAATCGCGTGAGGGAATAAAAATATATGTTTATTTGTAATGAACGTATAGTTGTGTGTATTTTATATTGTTGATTTTATAAACAATTATCTTGTTTTGTTTATCTGACAGTTCATTTGCTTCCAAACCGTTGTTATGAAGAAAATTCATGGAGGAAAGGAGTACGGCCGTTAATCCAATAAAAATTAAGGATCACTCGAAGAGTCGTGGTTTTTTCGGTCAAAAGGTTGAAGAAGGTGGCTATTTCATATATTTAATCGAAGACTTTTCGCTCTCTAATTTGTTTCGCTCTCTAATATCTCCCATTTGCCAAGTGTCTCCGAGAAGTGTAGAAGTTTTTGTAGCTTTTCCAATTACTTTAATAATGTTACCTAAAGTCAAAATTAAACTAAATAATATTCTACTTTTGGAAGGGTGATCTTCTCATTTTATTAGTTTTTTGGTAAATACTTATTTTTTACATAAGTTTTTTACACACTTTTTTTTTAATTACATGTATAATAACCACTTGTTTCTTTTGCTGTTCTAAGTCCAAACGTCTTTGAATAAACAGATGAAGTTTCCACCTTTTTTGTCTTTTTTCTCCACCTTTTGATCGAAAAACCCCCAACTATTCGAGTGATCCTTAATTTATAATATATACAATTATAATAATAAAACAAATTATATAAAAAATTATTATGTCGTTTTTACTCTCTAAATGTGATAATTTATCATAGAGCCTCAACAGAAAGGATGCGCTGAGGGCTCCATGGGTTGCAAAGAACAGCTAATTATCGACACAGTCATTGTTAACCAGGCATACCCCAAAAAAGAAACCTTTTTACTGCGTTTATTGACTACCAGAAGGCCTTTGATTCAGTGCTGCATGAATGACTTATAGATATATTAAAAATATATAAAATCGACGATAATCTAGTGACTTTTTTGAAGGATATAATGGCAGAGTTGAAGACTAAAATTCACCTTAAAATAACTGGTGAAATCAATATCAAAACTTAAGATATCCCAATCAACAGGGGCCTTTTTCAGCTAAACTCGTTAAGACCACTTTGCTTATGTCTGGCGATGAACCAACTATCTCAGCTACTGAACTCCACTGACTCAGGATTTAGCATCAAAAATAACAATACTGTTGTGACGAAGCTTAATCATCTGTTGTACATAGATGATTTGAAATTAATAGATTTTACTCGAAACCACCTGGATCAGATAATAAAAACTGTAGAAACTTTTTCAAATGATATTATTATGCTTTTGGGCTAGACCAAATATATGGGCCGTATACTAAATATAGTCAGAGGAAAGGATCAGCCCGGAAATTTCGATATGCAATGTGACCAAAACATCAAGGTAATGGGTGAAAATGATAAGTACAAATATCTCGGATTAAAGCAAGCACGGAAAATCGACCATAAACAAATGAAAATTGAACTAACTTTCGAGTTTGTACAAAGAGTAAGACAACTAAATCGGTAATGTCTTAATATTAAAAGGCAAGGAAAAGTCATACTGCATAAAAGAAACAACAACAATACACCATGGTACAGAAAAAAAATAAAGGAGAAATGTAAAGAGACGCGAGAGTCCTACACGAAGTACAAAACATCAGATACCCCAGAATTCTAAGATATCTATAGAAGGATACAAAATTAAACAAAGCAGTTGGTAAGAAGAACAAAAAATGAACGCTGGAAACAGTTTACAAAAAGGATGGAAAGCGACTTCTGTGGCACACAAAAACAAATATGGAGATTCATAGGAAACGAACGCAAGAAAATGGCAGAATTAAAGGAATTCAATAACGTACCAGCAAACAAACGGGAAAGATACCTGATGGAACTGTTTAAAGGAAAAAAAAATAATAATCAACACAATAACGTACCTGAGTTAAGCCACAAAATAGAAATCAGTTTTCGGGAAGTATAAATGGCCATAAATTCACTCAAAAATAGAAAGTCACTGGGACCAGATGGAATAACCAACGAGCTTCTAAAACACGAAGAAGAAAGTATAACCCTAGCGATGACAAAACTTATACAAAAACTAATAAAGCACTGCAAGATACCAAACGCATGAAGGGAGAGCATAATGATACCAATGTTCAAGAAAGGAGATAAAAAAGACCCCAAAAATTATAGAGCTAAAAATCTACTAAACACAGCACTTAAGCTTACCACAAAAGTCCTAACCAACAAAATCAATAAAATAGAAACTTTATCAGATAACCAACAAGGATTCAGCTCCGAAAGATTTTGCGTGGACGCCGTGTTTGTACTAAGACAAATCACTGAAAAGGATATCGAGTACAATAAACCAGCATATCTATGTTTTATAGACCTGACAAAGGCTTTGGATCGTATCCAAGTCCAAGACGTCTTACACTTACTGTATAAATGAAACATACCAGTCAATATTATACAAACCATTGAAAAAATCTACTTTCATAATTAAATACAGGCAAAAATAAATAGGAAACTAACACAGTATATACCAGTACAAAGCGGAGTCAGACAGGATGACTCGTTAAGCCCAGTTCTCTTTAATATAATAATGAACGATATAATACAATCAGTACGCAAAGGTCCTGGGTACAGAATGGGGAATAAAGAAATCCAAATATTATGTTATGCAGACAACGCCGCAATAATAGCCGAGACAGAAGACGAGCTCCAAAGATTAACACACATTTTTAATACAACAGCCAAGAAATACAATATAATAATATCAGCAGAAAAAAAAACAAATGTCTGACAACATCTTAATACTCACTACTATGTAAAATCAAAATTGATAGAAAAATAATAAACCAGGAAGCAAGGTAAAGATATCTGGGAATAGATATAACTAGTTACGGACATGATGAGGATGAAGTACGACAATATAGCTTAAAATCATGTAAAGCGGCGAGATCACTTAAAGACACAATCTGAAAGAACAAACACCTAAGACAAGAAGATATTACTTTAAAAGACTACTATAAACTTCTTCTTCTTAACGTGACCTATCAAGTCCCCTTGACGTTGGCGATTAACATGGCGAAACTGTCTCTGTCTCGAGCTATTCTAAAGAGTTGCTCAGCTTTCTTTATTCCTGTCCACTCTCTGATATTCTTCAACCAAGAGGCCTGCTTTCTACCAATTTCTCTGCGTCCTTCGATTTTACCCAGCATAATAAGTTGAAGAATATTATATCGGTCTCCCCTTACTACGTGTCTAAAATAGGCCATCTTTTTACATTTGATGGTATCAACTATAAACTAGGAACTACAAAGGTATTGTAACGTAAAACGTATTGTATCCAGTTCTATTGGGTGGTTCAATATTCTTATATTGAACAGAAGTGGGACGTAGCTTGATGAATTTGACTACATCTCTGTGCTAACTTCTTAAATTAAATCAAACTATAATACGAACTAATATATACAATAATATACTATTTGTATTATAAAGAAAAATTATAAAATGGTGTAAATTATTTATCAAAAGTAATAAAAACAGATTATTCAAAGCCACCCAAAACCTAACGTAGGCAAACTTGCTAATAAAACCCCATTATCCATAGGTTTTAAACTCACCACTTGAATTTGCTCCGTATACAAATACGGCTCCAACCAAAAACAAAATTATAGCTAAAATTAAAGGAAATTATTATTATACTAGAGTACATATTAGTCGTTACTTACGATGCATAGCTTTGGGTAGTTTTTTTTCAATAGATACTATGTTAATAAAACTTAAAATTGGATTCATACATGCGTTTATATAGCAAATCAATTTTATTTAACAAAGCTGCTACAATTTTTTTACTTATAAAATTGTTATAGATAAAAATGGTATTTAATTTATCACAGGAAACGTATTATTGTTGATCGATTGAACTTTAAGATTGTGCATAATATCTTAAGTGCCTGGTGATCGGAACTAATCTTGCAAACTTGATAGAAAGCATTATTTAGTTAATTAATCAGAAGTTTTAAAGCATTGTCAGTACAAAATATAATTGTAAAATATGCTGTTCATCAAATAAATTTCAAGGATTTTTATTTATTGTATGACCGTATTGTACGACACATATACATATAACATATATACAATTCACATATTGCAAGTTTACAAAAGTACATCTAAATCATTAAAATGATCTATCGAGCCGTCTAGAAATCGGCTGAACTGCCATCATATTCTATGATGTGTTTAATAGATTGTAGTTATTCGCAGTCACAGAACTTGGATGGTATTTATTTACCAATATTCTGTCCAGCATAGACAATGCTAGATCAAACCCTTATGAATTTTGGGAAACACAGGGCAAGTTATCAGTTTGTTGTTTATTACATTCTCGGGTCTACATGGTCGTAAGCTTGAACGCTTTTTCCGCTTATTTCGCTGGAGATTATTTAGAGCAAAGTCGCCTATGGTTGGTAATGTTTACGTTGTAATTTGAGTATTGGGTAGTAGACTGTAGCCCAGAACTGGTACCTTTTATGGGGAAAGGGATTATTTTGACAATGTCTGAAATCATCGTTATTGTACAACTTAGTTAAACGCCCCTTTCTTCTTGATTGTAAAAAAATATTTCGGGGTAAAAAGGACGAAATCAAGGCTAAGATGATTGTGTTTTGTGGCATCCAGGGTGGATGTTGTGCTACATAGTTTGCGGATTTTTTTTTTAATTTGAGTTTTCTGCTACTTCAGTCAGATACTCTCTAAAGAAGATCGTTCTGCCAAAGGTGACCACAAAGTACTTCGGCTTGTTATTGTAGGCGACTTTAAGTTAATTATTGTTTTCTGCAAGAATATTATTTAGGTAAAAATCGAAAAATTCTATTTTTATTTGGTTGTTGCTCAAAGTTACAGAATGACTTTCACATTATATCTGAGTCCGCGTTAATGATCCCCTCTTTTACTTCAAATGACCTACACCTTGGATGCAATGATTTAGTTTTTGGCATATCTTTTGATGTAAAGGAGAAACCGTGGAGGATCTAAAACAGATCCCGGATACTGACCATTTTTCAGATTTCTTGGTGCGCTAATGTCAAATCTCATCTTCACTTGTATCGTACGGTACCTAGACATACTGTCGGTTATTCGAGTGGGCGATTTACATATAATTGTTGGAAGTAGCTTTTGTATCATACCTTTTCTTCAAACTATATCATAGCCTGTTATTAATTTTATGAACTTAGCTGCAGCTTTAAGTTTCCTCTGAAACTCTGCCTTAAGGAAGGATGGTATGTAAAAGGACTTAATACTGCATAGGCCTTTGGATACAAGCCTGTCTGTTTGATTGGTGTTAATTCAATACTTTGGATTCAATAGCATTTATTTTACCGTTATATTCGGAAACACCACTCAGACAAATTTTATGTTTTTATGAGAATAAGTCTGGATACATTTTAGTATATTTATTATACCATTTGTATCTTCTGCGAATGTCACGTGGTTTGAAAACCACAAATAAACTTGTAATTTGTCACGCGATCAACAGCTCGATCGCAGTGTAAAACAAATTATTTTGTTTCGGCATCGACATTCCTGTAAACCGTGATGATAGGCCGCAAAGGTGAACGGGTGATACGGACTTGGTATGTGCGATCTTATAAAAAAATGAAGGTTTATTTTGACATCGATGTATCATCCGCGAATGCGAAAATACTAAACGAGTTTATATCAGTTTGTACAATGCAAATAGTAACTACAATTTGGTCAAAACGAAAGTAGCAGATGTGTAACATATGGAACAGCTAACGAACATATGGAAGAAGAAATAATGCAAATTACTATTTTAGGTTTATTGTTTGATCTGGGAAAAATTAGGCATCTTTTCTTTGTTGTTTGACCAATCACCCAAGTAACTTTAAATCTTGAAATTGATCTTTAAAAGCCTTTAAAGTAGTTTTCAGATTTTGGAACGTAAAGTTGTCTCTTCTTCTTTCTATTTGATATAGTTTTCCTAACTCTCGAGCCAACTTTTCCAAAAATTTTTTCAGTTTAAAGGTTCGTCAATATTTACATCATTAATTTTTATTTTTACATCACAAGAGCATTTACAGCGCAAATATTTATAAGATGGAGAAAAAGAGCCACCGGCCATCTTCGTGTTGTTACTCTGACATTATGTATTGTTCTGAAGTTATTTTCTTGTGGCATTGTAAATTAATTACTATTTATAACTGAGAATAAGCCACAATTAAAGATAAAAATACGTTTATTGACGTTTTAATTTCCAATTCGGAAATCGTTCTCAAAATACAAACAGTAAATTAAACAAATTTTGTTTTTTGTTACATAGTGAAAAAATTCTTCTAATAATTTAATTTTATCTGACTGATTTATATTGATAATTCAGACATACATTATGCATTTTACAGTAGACGACTTTAAAATGATATTGTCAATATTGTTGAGTTGCGCTCCTGGGACGGCTTTACTTATAAGATAGTTCATTCGATTACATGAAATCAACTTTAACTTGAGAATATCCGTCAGAAAAAATCATACCATGTAATTCGTCTTAAAGACAAACACATGACATGATGACAGTAAAATTCTCCTGTTAGTGATTCCATAGTAAATTATGAGGGAAAAACCAGGAAAAAAACCTCATAATACTATCCCGACATTGTAAGTATTTGTTCTTGAATTTAGTTTACCTTCAACAAACACCAAAATTCTGATTTTATATGTTACGTTATTTAAAAAACATAAATGATGTATCCGCTATATGTTACTGACTTACTAATACTGGTATTTTCTTATTAATAACTTCCTCTTTCAATATTGGTAACCAGATCCTACTACATTCTGCCGAGGAATTTGCGACACAATTGGCCTCATTTAGCAAAATTGGAGCCGCTTCTTTGATTTTTCTTTTTTTGCCATCCATTTCTTTTAGGACTATATTTGAATTATTCCATTGAACGCTATGTTCATTATCCCATGCGTGTTTACATATTTGAGATCTATCAAATTCTCTATTTTTAATATAAGATTGATGTTCACTTATTCTAACATTTAATGGCCTTGATGATTCACCTAAATAAAACTGATCGCATTCACAAGGTATTTTATAAATGCAATTCTTTGTCCTTTCTTGTTCATTGTTAGGTTTGGTTTTGGACAAAATAGATCTCAACGTGTTTGTTGTTTTGAATGTTGTTGAAATGTTGAATTTATTTCCTATCTTTTTAACTTTTTCTGATAATCCTTTTATGTACGGTATTGTTATTTTCCTCATATTATTCCTTGTGTATGCTGTAGGATCTCGTTCTAAGATGTTCTGTTCTATTCGATCGATTGTTGAAAATTCCTTATTTATAAACGATAAAGGATAATCATTTTTTAATAAAACAGATGTTAACAAATGTTTCTCCTCCAAGAACGAATTTTCGTTAGAACAAGTAATTTTGGCTCTATCGTATAAGGATTTAATTATTCCCTTTTTTACATTAATATTGTGATTTGATTTGAAATTTAAATATCTATTGGTGTGTGTTGGTTTTCTATACACCTGAGTCTCATATCCAGTATCGTTCTTAGAGATTAAAACATCCAGGAAAGGTAACGTGTTATTATATTCCTTTTCCATGGTAAATGTTATTGTCTCTTCTTTATCGTTTATATCGTTTAGGAATGTGTCCAACAACTCTGATCCATGAGGCCATATTGAGAATACATCAACTAGAACAAGACTAAACATATCGGCTATAATGGAGTTATTAACATTATGTACTGATAATACATATTTTCAACTAAATAATGAATTCTGTAAACAAAATTTTGGTCTAGCAATGGGCTCTAGTTTATTTCCATTATTAGCCGATATATTTATGGAAAATTTTGAAACAAATATCATTTCTAAACAAAATTTCAAACCCATGGTATGGTGGAGGTATGTAGATGATGTATTCTCAATATGGCCTCATGGATCAGAGTTGTTGGACACATTCCTAAACGATATAAACGATAAAGAAGAGACAATAACATTTACCATGGAAAAGGAATATAATAACACGTTACCTTTCCTGGATGTTTTAATCTCTAAGAACGATACTAGATATGAGACTCAGGTGTATAGAAAACCAATAGATATTTAAATTTCAAATCAAATCACAATATTAATGTAAAAAAGGGAATAATTAAATCCTTATACGATAGAGCCAAAATTACTTGTTCTAACGAAAATTCGTTCTTGGAGGAGAAACATTCGTTAACATCTGTTTTATTAAAAAATGATTATCCTTTATCGTTTATAAATAAGGAATTTTCAACAATCGATCGAATAGAACAGAACAACTTAGAACGAGATCCTACAGCATACACAAGGAATAATATGAGGAAAATAACAATACCGTACATAAAAGGATTATCAGAAAAACTTAAAAGGATAGGAAATAAATTCAACATTTCAACAACATTCAAAACAACAAACACGTTGAGATCTATTTTGTCCAAAACCAAACCTAACAATGAACAAGAAAGAACAAAGAATTGCATTTATAAAATACCTTGTGAATGCGATCAGTTTTATTTAGGTGAATCATCAAGGCCATTAAATGTTAGAATAAGTGAACATCAATCTTATATTAAAAATGGAGAATTTGATAGATCTCAAATATGTAAACACGCATGGGATAATGAACATAGGGTTCAATGGAATAATTCAAATATAGTCCTAAAAGAAACGGATGGCAAAAAAAGAAAAATCAAAGAAGCGGCTCTAATTATGCTAAATGAGGCCAATTGTGTCGCAAATTCCTCGGCAGAATGTAGTAGGATCTGGTTACCAATATTGAAAGAGGAAGTTATTAATAAGAAAATACCAGTATTAGTAAGTCAGTAACATATAGCGGATACATCATTTATGTTTT